GGAGGGCATTGTGACCTAAATGAGGCCGCTCGCGCCCGCGACGCTATCTGCGTCTCCCTCGAGCGCGTGCTCTCTGATCATTCTCTAGCCTTAACTAGGTCACGAAGCCTTGCCTTCCAGCCGGCAATCCATTTGAATCAAAGGGTAACTCTAAAGTTCAGCTTAGACAGTGCTCTTTTCATGTAAACCAATCAGCATCCTTGAGTATACTGTAGGTACAATGCGGGCTAGAATTTAGAGTTGAAATTTTAGGTCCAAAAGGGCTTAGTCAACACATTTCAAGGAGTTTCTGGGAAATCCAGATATGTGAGTGGATTATGTCTTTTTGAAGTTATTCTTCAACATTTTTAGATTGAGGCTCAGAGTAGAGGACGCATAAAAACGGACATATTGAGATTGCAAATTTTTGTTTTTGAGACGAAAAATAGACGTTTACACGGTTAGTATCCATGATGAAAGCAACGGTTTTGCAAACTGAATGATTAATGCCCATTTTTAAGCCCATTTCAAGTGCTTAATGCACTTGACGTCACTTGTAGCCACTTTGCAAAGCATTAAGTGACCCTTAATGTAGGAATAATGAAGGTGGATTGCGTGATCGTACATATCGAAAGCTTTGAGCCATTCGATTGGACATCAAATTGCAGAAGCATTTGTTAAGCGACATCTGAATTAGAAAGTAGCTTTTAGATAGTTTTTTGGACGTTGAGAAAACGTCAGTGCTTCTGTCTCCTAATGAATGGGGTAAACTATGTTTTAACTTTTTCAATAACAACATTATACAGATCTTCTTGACCTTATGAAAATGTATTATGTGAAAGCAAAAGTTTTGAGAGAAAAATTCGAGAAAGAGCTTGTTGAATTACTCAAAATGCAGAATTTGCGCATTAACATATCTTATTATCAGATGTGGCACCTCGACTGCTACCCTGATTCGACTGGCTTGGCGGTGGAAGGCAGGACTTTGTGACCTAATTAAGGCCGCTCGCGCCCGCCACGCAGTCTTCGTCTCTCTCGCGCGCGTGCTCTCTGGTCATTACCTAGCTTTAATTAGGTCACGAAGCCCCGATTTTCAACCGCTAACCAGTTGAATCAAAGGGTACAAACGCGCATCGAAAAATTCTTTGCGCTTGTCCTCTGGACCGGATTGTGTAAGTAAATTGAAATCAAAATATGAATGCTGATGAATGGAGTTAAATCAGTCAATTTATTTTTGAATGTATAAACCAGATTTTGCCTTGATTACTCTGTAAGCGAACCCGACAAAAACAATCCGCGCAGGACCTTTTACTATATGGAAATCTCAGTTCAGGCGGAAATTGGACTGGCGGGAGTCCGCTTCGCAATGATTCGCGCCGCTTGGCAGTCTGCGTCTCTTCATTCTAATCTATCTCGCTCAGCCAGCGGTGCGGACGCGCTAGTCCACTTGGAATATTTCGCCTACTCTGAATTGAAAAAGACTGTAAGCGGGAAGAACGCAAGGCAACGCATATCCTCACATACTCGCGCAAATCTGCTCTCGATTAAGCAGCGCCCACAAACGTCTATGTGCCTGCGCTATACCGGAAAATCGATCGATCATAAGACGCCTCCACGTGAGTGACAGCCGGCACAGCGCTGGAACGGCACCGGCACGGCGTTAGCACCAGATTGGCACCGCCAACTCTGGACGCAGCCTTGGAGCAAACAGACGCCCTTTAGACTAGTATCAAATGGAGTTTTTTCAGTGCAGGGTGAGTAAAGCAGATAATCAATAATTCTGATAAAATTGAGGAGTAGCAGTGCAAAAAGAAAATTGAAAGAATTGACTTTCCACATGCTGTCAACACTAGAAACCAAATCTGCGGACTCAGGGTAGTTGTTGCAAAAGTACCAAGAACTCAAAGAAAGCTCGTTAGTTTCGTGCCCTTTTGAATTGTAGTGCATTAATCCTACTCCCAAGCCAGACACGGTCTAATGCTTCGCACTTTGTCATAAAGTGAAATTCTCGCACTTGCAAGCAACGTTGTGTGACATTTCCTTTTGAAAAACTTTAGTGCACAAATTAACAAGTCATGAAGTTGGAAATGAGGTTGAGAAGGGAAAGGGTAGAGACAAGGACGAGAAGGGGGAAGTTTTATAGGATTTTGATGCAAGCGGAGTTCTTGAGAGGTGTAGGATTACATAGAGTGATAAACAAGATGTCAAGGATTTGAGAAGTTTGTCATGCATCTCCTCAGGGATAAGACATCTCACTAAAAGTACAAAAAGGACTTGGCAGCATTTTCATGTCAAATGACGAGTCTAGCTCAAATTTCAGCTCTTCCAGCAAAGTCTGACAACTCAGAATCGAAAGTAATGGCTAAGATTCAAATTTTTCGCTTCTTCCAAAAACTCCGCCCGCCTTGGAGAAAGTTTGTTGTGTATGTTGTGAGTGAGGATTTGACAAAAGAGGAGGCGATTGGCCTCGTGCCAAACATTGCTGCTCGTCTATTCAACGCTGATTGCGCGTACTAAATGGACAACTTGTGTGTGCCTGATGTCGTGTAGTCCTATGAAGAGGTCGCAATTACACCGAAAACAGCGCGCGCAGAGACATCTGACTCTTCTCCCGGACACTATACACTCTGTAATGCAATAGTCGGAAACAACATGTTAGACAAGGGACTCTATTTGTTATTGTTATATCTCTAGAAAAAGCCCTATAGGGCTTCCCTCCCCCCCCCCCCCCCGTCTTCACTACTACTACTACCCGGAACAACTATGGGGATTTCACGTGCGCGCCTCTCGTCGTAGAGACGTCGCTTGGCAGTTGTTGTTTTGCAGCCGCTTTGACAGCCCGAATCATCAAATTTGAAGGGGCGAAATCAAATTTGAAGCCGCATAAAAAGCCGCCTGCTCTCTCGTCTCAATAAACGCAGCAAATAGCCCGCGTGCTATTCTAAGCGTCATTGAGGGATCCTTCAGCGAAAAATATGCGATTACGATAAGTGCGTTTACGTCTTTGAGTCAGGATAGAAAGACGTATTACTACCTATTTCGGATATTACCCTAGTTGATTTGAAAAGTCTTAATTTCGAAAATCGTTTAGTCGATATTGTAAATTAGTTGCAAATTCCAAAAAAAAGAAATTTTTAGGCATACCAGCGTCCAAGTTATTTTGGGTACTCATCGTCAGCAGCGAGGATCGAGGAGTCTTTTTTTTCACAAGGGGTGCGGGGGAGGGAGGGGGGGGGGGGGAGGGGGGCGACAGAAATTTTTTTCTATCGAAGAGGCTTAGCTACGAAATCCTTTGGAGCTGCCTTTCCACATTTTCATGGGCCTAAACACTCTTCAAATAAGGGGCATAGGGATGCCACACTCTCGAAATTTTTTTACAGAGCTGATTCAAATTTTTGAAAAACCCAAAAAATCCAAATGTGTTCTAGTTCTTGACAAAAAACAAGAAATTTGTAAACTTAGCCCCTTTAAAATGCCCCTTCCCCTTCATTCGTCCGTCACTAACTACACATGTTTTTTATGCGAAATAAACTGGAGGCCTTAACTAAGCCACTGAATAAACAAGCGACAACTCATATTATTCACCGTGGTTGAGAATTCGACGCTAAGCTTCAGTTCAGACCATATCTTACCATACTCGCAGACTCTGATTGGTCCGCTCGGAAAGGTAAGGTCTAGGCTCGATAAGAGTTCGAATTTCTTGACCACTAATAAATCATAACTCCGATTTGGCAATGGATTACCTTGAACTTCTTATTGTTAGTCAAATCCGCAAAGTTCAGCTATAGATTTGCCTGAACATGCCTTTGAATTTCATATATATCAAAAAATAGTTATGCTGAAAATTGCATAGAATTTTGAGTTGATTTGTTGCTCAATCTTTGCAATAGTGGACCCTTATCGCTTAACTTTTCGACCGTGTTTAGTCCACTGTGACAAACATCGAAAGAAGACAATACTTGTCGAAACGTTAGGCAATAATCACCATAAAAATCTTGCTAAGCTTCAGTCAAACTTATGGAATCAGGAAGTATTCTCTATTACAGAAGCATGATTGCTGGCCTTAAAATCTTGAACTAGAAGATCAAAAAGAGAGATTTGATAAGAAACTTCAACCACATTCAACTCGCAGCTTTCAACATTGTAAAGAGTCATTGTGCTCTATGGTACGCCAAACAGGTCTAAAACTTGACTTGAGATTTTTTTTTGAAATCTCAAACTAATTTTCTTACATTATAGACATGACAGCACATACCAACAAGCGTCAATAATTTGAACTTAAACTGTTTTGCATTGCGTTAAAAAATTTGGAATCCGCAGCTTTATTCCTAACGGAAAGGCTTGGCTCTAACCGAGCCCTTTAGAAATTTTAGGATGCTTGCTAAATTTTTACGTACTAATCTTCGCCTTGAAAAAGGAGAGGACAAAGTGGTGTAAAAGATTTTTAGAAGCTGTGCTGATGAGGGGTTGCAAAGCTTTACCGAAGAAAACCCAAGTACCACCTACGCTACCATTCACAACTCGAGGATATGAGTTTTTAGAATTTTATATATATGTAATATTTCCAGTTTTTTCATTGCTGATCTATTCTCATTGCCTAACTACATGGGATAGGGGGAACGAACTCCGCCAGTTTGAGCCGGCCTTCAATGGCAACTGGTCCTTTTGCTATGTTGTTGCATATCGTTGCAGGACCAATAGTCCGCAAAGGCGGTTCAAACTGGCGGAGTTCTTCCCCTACCCCTTTTGCTTTTTTCCTGGTATTTACGCATATCGCTGCGAATTTTTCAAAGGCATACGGATGATAATTGTATTCGATTGTAGTGGACCAAATTTTCTAACGATATTATGAACTGGACAATGTATATAGTAGAAATAAAATTTATGCATAAAACAGAGCAACCTGTAGACACCTGTGTTAGTTACAGAGGAGGTACATCGATGCATAATTGCAGACTAATGAGAGCAGTATGAATCGTAAAACAGTTATTAAAAGTGTTTGAATAAGCTCATTAGTCCTAGATCCCTATTCTAAGTCTGTTAGAACCGAGAATGAGTAAGATTGAGCCTGAGATTACTTAGTAACTGCATGAAGGGCCTTGGCGAGGTAACCGACATTTCCTGATGATATGCCAGCAACGGAGATTCGGCCATCTTTAGTCAAGTAGATGGAGTGCTCTTTGATCAGCTTTTCTACCTAAAAAAAGAGATTTTAGCAAAAAACCGAAATCAAAAACATAGACAAATAAAATTATATTATTAGAATGGAGCATAATTTTTGCACCAAAACTTTTAAAAATTCCGTATTCTTCTCTAAGTTCAATGAATCTGCTTGAAATAATTCTCTAAAGTACAATGTAAAATACTGCATAATTACGCAATGAAAAAAAATACTAAACAGATTGAAACGCCGCTCTGAGCATTTTTAATTGAATTTTTTAGATTTTTGGTGCAAGATTCATGTTCCAACCTAGTATTAACTCATATCCAACTCAAAAATTGCTGCTTCATATTTGGATAATAAACAAAGCCCAGATTTACAACGTCAATTGGCGTAGTGCGGACAGAACGTAACTTTTGATTCAACTGGGTTCGCGGCTGGAAGGCGTGGCTTTGTGAACTAATTGAGGCCTCTCGCCTCACGCATTCTGCATCTCACTCGCGCGTGCTTTCTGGTCATTCACTAACCTTAATTAGGTCACAAAGCCCCGCCTTCCATCCGCCAATCCAGTTGAATCAAAGGATAAGCGCTGTGGGACAAAATGTTAAACTTTCTTGGCGTCCAAATAGACGCTCCGCCATCGACGTTTTCGGGGGGGAGGAGGGGGGGGGGGGGGGCGGAGCATACGATGCAATGCACAAGCTGTTTAATGTCGCGCGCTTTCGAGCTGACGATCATCAAAGAGAGATAATGCAAAAAGGAGACACGCATATAGCTAAAAATGCGACGCAGCATTGACCGCAACTTGCCATTGCCTGCGTCGTCAAAAAAGAAGTTTTTCTGCAAAGAGATGGGAATACTCCTGTCAAAAACAATTCACAATACTAAATTCACCTATCTTTTTCGGTCTCAATTTATTTGTCTCGGCGATAAACAAAAAAATTTTATTTGCAGAAAATTGAAGATGCCTACATGAGAAATTTAGTTGCTACTTGAATTTTCAGGAAAAATTACCTGTTCCGGATTGATACCCGTAAAGCAGAACATGCCAATTTGATTGGTGATATGTTCCCAATCACGAGATGATCCTTCTGCCTTCAGTAGTTCCTTCAGTTGTGATCGCATACAAATAATTCGAGTGGCCATTTCTTTCACATCACTGAGCCTAAAGGGAGAAAGATCAAGGATAAGCAAGAATTACAATATGAAATATTGAAGACTAGCCATTGCTTGTATAAGACGCCATCACTGAGTATTTTCGTAGCTATTCTTGCGCCATGAATTGGGGGATTGGAGTACATTGGCCGGATGAGAATCTTCAACTGTGAGGCTACCCTAGCAGCTTCTTCTTTATTTTCGCAAATTACTGAGTAGGCTCCAACTCGTTCGCCTGGAAAAGAAGATAAAACTGGATTCAGATAACAAACTTAAAAAAAGTTGGATATGACTGTGATGGCAAATTTCTGAAAAGGTGGTCCTTTTGCGCCGCTACAGTATGCTACCGTGTAAACAGAGATTCTTCGCTAAGTAACCATTCAAACACTAGATTAGTTTTGACGTCCATTTTAACAAGTAGAAGACGTTATATCGCCAACAGCATGGATCCCGCGCGGACATGTGCCACAAATCGGGTACCACTCTGCGTTATAGCTTGTGTCAATTGCCCGCACAACTGGAGCTTATCAACAACGCATCGCTCTCCACTACCATTTTTCTGTTAGTTATAGTCCAGGGATCAATTTTTGCGCCAAAACAGGAATACATTAATTTTCGCGCCAAGATAGGAAACGATATGTAGCTGACGTTGGTCCCAACGCGATATGGCAATACAGTTTAGCAGTGAGTGTGGCTTTAACTGCATCGTGTTCTACGAGTTTTGTTGCCTATTCCGCCTGAAGATTTTCAGCCCTTTGCGGATAACTCGTCCGTATCCCTTGCGTCCTAGCAGGATCCAACAGTATACCTTATGGTTGCGGTACCATACTGTAGCGGTGCAAAAAGTGCCAAAACCAAAATTTTTGAGCTAGGAAGTGTTGCTTCTCCACATAAATGGTCTGATATCTGTTTTGTAAATAACTAAATGTCAAAATAATAATATTTATATACAGTAACCTAGAAATAACCTTACCATAAAGTCCCATATTCTTAGCAAACGATTGCGCAAGGCAGATATTGTGTCCTTGGTCGATGAAATGCCTGGAAAAAAGTCTTAAATTCTCTTTTTTAACAAAATTAATGGACCAACCGAACTGCAAATGCATCGCCATCAACATCACCGGAAGCAAATCCTTGATAGGCCATGTCGAAAAACACAAACAAATCGTTCTTCTTACAAACTTCCGATATTTTTTTCCATTGATCCCGCTAAAAACATCTTTTCGTCTTGGTTGAGGTGAGGGACTTGAGTATTTACCGTGGGATCAACACCAGTAGGATTGTGAGCGCAGGCATGGAGCAGAATTACGGAACCCTTTGGAATTTTGGAGATATCTTCAAGGGCACCAGCTTCATCAAATCCGCAAGTGTTCTTATCGTAGTAACGGTAGTTTTTCACATCTACGCCGACAAATCTGTAAATATTCGGATTCAATGACGGGGAGAGGGGAAGTGAATAATGTATTTAAAAATCTCTATCAAAACGGGACTGACTTGAAGATTGGAACATGGTTTCCCCAAGTTGGTGTAGGTTGGTAGACGACTTTGTTAGGATGGAATTTGGACTAAAACAAGTGATTAAATGGTCATATCGATAACAAAAACGATTGGACAAAAGCTATAAAAAGTGAAAATATTGCAATATGCAACCTTTTATAACCTATATCCTCTGAAATATGACATCATACTCTTTGGCGTTGTTAGCAGCAAAAACAAAAGCGAAGTTTGAAATTCAAATTCGAATTATATTTTGATCACCTGAGTTAATGTATCAATATATTCTAAATTCGTTTTCAATCTTCAGATACAGATCAGTAGCGAAAATTTTCAGCTGTCCGTCCTTCTGTTGATTTATCTTTAAGGTAGCTTAGATGCTACTATCTTCTCACCTTAAAGAGATCTATGATTTTCAGTAATCAAAATAATCGAAAATATCAAAAATCGACGGTTAACCGGCAATAATTCGTCTACGATTTGAATCAACTGGCTTGGTTTCGGGAAGGCGGGGCTTCGTGATGACCTAATTAAGGCTAGCTAATGATCAGAGAGCACTCGCGCGAGAGAGACACAGGTGCGTCGCGGGCGCGAGGCCTTAATTAGGCCACGAAACCTCGCCTGCCAGCGGCCAAGTCAGTTGAATCAAAGGGGTTATGTGTTCTCTAAGAATCCGGAACTCAAACAAGAGCACCAGGTTGCTGTTAATACTATTCTTAGGCCGGATGATTTGTTGGCCTTATCAGTCCGGGGCAAAGTTCTTGCAGAGATCAATCTTACTGCTAATGAAACTAACTATTAGCCATATTCGCACAAATGAAATCACAGAATTCCCTTGAAAATTTCAAAAAAAGGTTTTTTGAAAAGAAAGGAAATTATTGCATTTGGTAGAAATTTCTTTGATTCCGTATTCGTGTTATTCAGTAGATGGTAAAGCAATAGATGCAATAACTTCAGGCAAATATTCGGTACTAACAGAATGTTCATGGAAATTAAGGGAAAATCTTCATATCATTTGTAAGATATCCGAAACCCTTGTTGAAAAAATGATGGTCAGATTTGGCTAATCAATGTCCATTCGCAAAAAAAAACCGATTTTTGAAAAAATAAAACTTATTTTTCATAGTTTCACTGCTCTTTCTATATAGGGGGTATGTTCCCGGAGGAAAAAAAGATATTTTCTAGCTTTGATATATTGTAATTCTATATTTTCTTGAAGTACAGCAAAGCAACATACAGTACAGTCAATAATCCTCGTACCGTGTGCACCATAGCTCAATACCCAAAAAGACCTCGTCCAGATGAGTTATCTCTCTTCAAAGGAAAAAACTGCTGACGAAAATTCAAGGCCCCAGGCATAATTCATGCAAATTCCGTCGCAATTTGGCACTGCTCCAGTTGTTTACAACTCATCGTAAGTGCATTCTGCATGTACAAAAGATGAGGCATTTCATCAATCTGCGAGAATTATACGCATTGAGCATTTGTAGTCTGCAAGTGTTGATTTGGAGAAATCTGGCAAGTTGCCAAATCACGTCGCGTCGGTAATCGCGTAAAGTATGCCCAAGGCTCAATGCTACTCGATTATCGTTCAACTCTGCAAACTTAACTATTTCTCTTTCCTGTTCATTTATAACCGTCTCATTTTAAACTGAATCATCATTATTTATCTTCCAAAAAGTTGCTAAAGGTTTCATCAAAACATACGATAAACTCGGATCCTATACGAAGAGCTCCAGTCCCGGAAATGCTCTGCATAGTCGTAATTCGGCCCTCCTTCAAGACTTCCGAACTTTCGCCCAAAGCCAGCCTTGCGGCAACTTTAGTGAATTCCGGGATCCCTAAAAATTCAAAACTAGGTGCCTTGACTTACAGAAGTGATAGACTTACCAGCAATGCCAGCATATTCTTTATTGAGGTGCTCAGCCATAATCTGATGTTCAGCTTCTTGTACTGATGGTAGGACGAATGGTTTTCCCTATAACTTGTTATCTTGGCCTTTGTTTGGATTAAGTATCAGTTAAGCTGCTCTAAGGGTTCCTGACCTGATCATCTCTGTAGGCTCCAACACCCAAGTTCATTTTATTCGGATTTTTGTCCCTATGGAAAGCTTCGGTCACGCCGAGAATCGCATCGGGAGGTCCCATCTCGACTTGACTCCACCAAGATCTGACATTAATCATAACTAGATCTGAATAGCTTCTCCAAAAGTACTGCTCACTTGGCTCGAATCGAGTTTTTCAGCAGCACCGTCGCCGACCTCATCTTGTTACCTGCTAAAGAAGGGCTGACACTAGCGGAAAATCTCAGCAATACAAATAAGAAGATAGTAAATCAATCAAAGACTTAGCAAAAGAGTGGAGAATGTGCAACTAAATGGTAGATGAAAAACCACGAAGATTTCAAACTAAGACTCTGAAAGTCTAACAATAAGAATACTATTTAAAGGAAAAGGAAAAGAAATGGGAAAAGAAACTACTTAACTTGCCGGCTTCTGGGAGATGAAACTATTATCTATTTGCCAAAGAATTAAGCCTATCTATTTTTCATTTTCCTACCCTTTGCTTCTTCGAATTTCGCTAGACAACGACTACTAATTCCTTATCTTGCGCAACTTTTTCAGAAATTACCGGCATTACAATTTAGCAGAATGAATCGATACCGTTCTGCCCCCGTCCTATCCCTCCCCCTCCAAATTTGAGCATATACATCAACATGAATACTAAAAGTGCACTAAGCTAGACCTTTTCGTACAGAATTATTGGAAAGGACAGAAATTGCTAAACACTCCAACATCTACGATAGCTGGACTGTTCATTGGCACTGATTTTCAAACCTAGCAACTTTTCGGAAATCAATTGCTTAAATTTTGTGTTTCAAATTCTAGCCCTTCAATTCACCATCCTTGCACAAAATCTTCGAGTTTTATTTTGGAGGTCAAATGCTTGTAAAATAGCTGATACGAGATAAGGAAAAGAAATGAGAAGAAGAAAAAAGGATGGAGAGATCCAGAAAAAGAAAGAACTTATCAGTGCTAGTTATTAATAAATCTAGAGGGCCAATGAAGCGAGTAGGCATAGAATTGACTAGATTTAAGATGATGATTCTAAGCGGATTCTAAGTGGACGGGTTATTTTAGGTTTGAAAAACTTCTGTAAGACCTTCTTAGAGCTAGCCGATTTGTAAGGAATGCGGGTAGTAATTCTAGAAGTCGTTATTGGACATATTTAAAGAAAAAATTTTCTATGCGCTGAAAAGATTTTTCGTGTAAGGCTCGAGGATCAGTGTAAGATCTGATTTAAAATCTCATCGAAAAAAATCTCAATCTTAGTTTGTACGAAGCAATTTGCAAGAACGCATCAAAGATGAGACAGCATTATTCTCACTTCTCAGCGCAAACAAGTCAAAAATAACGAAAATATCCGATGTTTCACATGTATACATTGAAGAACGTAATCTTTAGCGCTCTATGAATGTTACTAATCTGTTTTCGACAGTTATCGACAAAGCTGTAAAAGTACAAACACAGACGATATCAAAGTGTGCAAACAAATGCAGGTTCCAAAACAAATGTCTAGCAAGAGCAAAAATAACAGAAACTACACCCTTAGAGAATCAAACCTCAGAAGAATTTTTTTGCTTATATTAGACACGAAGACGTAAAAACTGGGATAACAAAACGGTCAGGAGCGGTCTGATGATGGGTGAAAACACCTGGGTAAATATACAAAAACTCCACCCTTAAAGGATTGAACCTTACAAATTTTTTGGAGCTCTTATCAGACACTAACAAAAAAGGAATAAGCAAAAAGTCAGAAATTGGTTTGCTGCTTTGCCTAGAAATTTCAAGACGAAAATCCTCGCAAGTGACCTAGAATTTTTGAATAAAAACCATAAAGCATCAATTTTCACAGATGCGATCTACGGTCCAATAATCTGTTTTTTTTTATTGACTAGCGGCCCAATGGCTAACAGGTGTGAGAAATGTTGTATTGAGTCACCAAAGCCTCGTGTAACACTTTTCCGATGCCGTAAAAGCTAATAAACTTCATCTAGTGATGTTTTGATTGAAAAGTTCTGCTGGGAAGGCATGGTGCGCATCTAGTTCTAATGACGAAAGTACGACTGCTTGCAGAAGAACGTTTGGAGTCAAGAAAGATGTCGCGTTTAGTGAAGCTCATTCTTCAAAACAGAAATGCACACCTTACAACTCGCGCTTTTTCTCGAGACTCTCTCGTATAGCGTCCTTCACGTAGCTCTCTTTTCTGTGGCTTTTCTTAGCTGATATATTGTACGTTCTTTTTGGTGTAAAATTTTTTCAAAGCGTTAGCAGCTTTTTCCGTCAAACATTAGAGGAGGATGAGGACGATTCGCGTCCGTACTGCTTTCAACACAGGACTACGTCGCGCTCGGAACACCCTGCGGCGGCTTTTGCCTAAGCAAAGCAGGCGGAAGAAAGATTTGCGGCCTGCTGAAGTGTTAAGACAAGTCAAAATCAGGATAGCGCTGGAGACCGCCCGTGCGGAAAGACTGTCTTCCACAAGAGCTTAATTTCCTCATCACTCTAGCCTTAAAATATTAGTTTAGTTAGTCTCCATTCCCAGTTTCTTAGCCAAAATGCACTAATTTTTTCCCTCTAAAAGTCCACAGTGAAGTTGTCCACTCTTTCTTTGTTATTCAAGGAACTGTCCCGTCTGCAAAACCCCCTTTTTTCAAAAGCTTACTGAAGAAAATCACAGTATCTTCCTCCCCCTTCAATGCACTTCTAGTCAGTATGCTCACAGCGTCCCCCTCATCTTTCGTGCCAAAACCGCAGGGCCCGGCGTACGTTGGTTCGAAGGATTTTGGAAGACTAAGCTCGCCGCAGAATGCAGAAAGAATATGTATTCGTGATTAGCACCTCAGAAAACCCCCTAGACCAAAATTCAGCCAAAACTGAAGTGACTCTTCTACTTATACCCACCGTTGCCCCACCAAGTGGCGTTTTTGTGAAAAAAGAATGTAATATTTGTAATCCCCATCGACCAAATCTCAGCCAAATTCACAACTTCGAAATTTTGGGCCGCGGACACAAAAATAGCACCGTTCGAACTTCCCCGCAAGCACTCAGATAATCGCCGGGGCAGGCGGTCCGCAAACTCGCGCTTTTCTGCAAGCGGTCAGCAGAATTTTAGGGCGTGGCCAAACCTTCAGCGGGCGGTACTTCCTTTACGGTCGCATATTCTGCCAGCGGGCAGCAATACAGCATTTTCTGCAAGCGCTTGGCAAATAATTTCTTTCAGCGAGCGCTCCAAACTTTCAGCAAGCGCTCGGACTCTTTTTACGCAGTTTTGGGCGTAGTCGAGAAGGTGAGGCTCTATGTAGCAGAGGTGTCATCGATGGTTTGATTAGCCAAGTTTGGAGTACCTTCTTCCAACGGAAGGCACCCTGGGCAGTGCGGTCCTCCACAAAGGACCGTGCGGCCCCAACAATTTTGCATATTCTCGCGGAAATACCGCGAGAATGCGGCCACTGTGCCGCAACTTATCCACAGAAAGACCGCGATAGTTCTCCGAGCGTTCGTCCAATAATTGGCCAAAATTATTCCAAATTTCTGCAAGCGGACCGGAAGAAATCACCGAACTACTTTTCCGGTGCCCGCTTGCTCAAAATTCGCATAGCCGCCTGCCCCCGGCGAATATTGAGCAAATCCAGTCCTAGTAAACACCTTATTTTCCAAAATTTTTATGCCAAAGCATGAGTCTCCTTTTTTTCCTGGAAGTTCTCTCTATCTTTATTCGAAGCATGCTATGCTGCAGCCGATAAGTAACAAATGGATAATGCGTGCGGCGATCGCTTTTACGCGTAGTTCGCGCTCATCTCGTGGATGCACAAGTCGGGGATCTTCCTGGCGCGCTTCTGTGCCGCTTTTAACCTAAGCGAAGGCGTGAAGGTTATCTACTATCCTTGGATTTTCTCACTCAGTTAATGGTGGTTTTCGTATAGTTGTGTGATCGCTGAAGTTCGGTGAAGAAAGTGAATGTTAGAATTTAACCCTAGTGTCAAATTACTCATTTTTTATAAAATATGATTTCTTACCGTATTTTCTTTTCTTTATCGTCCACGCTGTTCGATGAAACTGCGATTAAGTTGGCGCACTTGATGAACATAGTTGATATTTGTCGTGGAGCACGCCACATCAATGGCGCATTTAGCCTAAGCAAAAGAAGGAAACGAAACCTTTTTTGCTTGTAAAGTTAGAGTAATGCAATTTGTCCAAAATACGTGCTCCTGGCATTTTATCCATGATACTTATTCTAATAGTCGTCGCTTTGCAGCAACCCTTTGGGAAAATTCTAGAATATACTTTGATTACTTCCACAACGACTTATAATACCAAATGACTGGAAGCATCTATATAGGCTTCTACCGTTTTGTGAATACTCAAAGCTGCAGAAACTTCATATGTGTGTTATCGATGAGGACCGGACGGTCCTCGACAAAGGACCATGCGGTCCTCATCAATTTTGCATATCGCGGAAAATCCGCGAGAATGCGGCCAATGCGCCGCAACTAATCTATAGGAAAACCGCGATAGTTTTCCGAGCATTCGCCTGAAAACTGGTCAACATTTCTTCAAATTTCTGCAAGCAGGCCGCAAGAAATCAGCGAACTATTTTTCCGGTGCCCGCTTGCTCATCGCATGGCCGCCTGCCCCCCGCGATTACCTGAGTGGTTATCAGAACCACGAAAGATATCGTTCAAGAAGCGGCAGCGCTTTCAACCGATACGTTAACTTCGAGCGCTCATAACTCACGAACCAGTGAAGACGGGTCGGAGAGAATGGTACCAATAAAAGGAAGACAACAAGCTCCTAAGCGGAAATGCTCTTACATTTTTATATTTCGTTCATTTTGGGGGCGAAATATGTCCTTGAAGTGGAGGTACCTTTGAATTTTGAGACACAGATTCTTTTTATATATGATAGGATCTGTGGAGAAACCAGCTGTTTTTTGGAGCCAACGATAGTGGCAAAAAGGAATTCCTGAGTGGGGAATCGAACCCGAGTCTGGCAGCTGAGAGTCACACCCCTTAGCCACTAGACCATGGAGACTGCATTGCACCTGCAGTTTACGCGCCTCAATCGCCTTTTTTTTCATCAAACTCAAGAGGGAAGGGGGTACGGTGTCCAGGCTCCCGCAACGATCTTGAAATCCGATCAGAAAAACGGGGGTTCTGGTTTCCATTATTTTATATAATAGGATGTTCCAGATCTTTGTGTGGATGTTCGATGGGTCAAAGAGCGCTGGAGTGGATGAAAAATCGGAGATCAAAATTCTTATTTCGATGTCTGTACTGGATGATAAAAGGTTGTATAAGCTTTGTGGGACAATCGAGAAAAATTAGCGGTACTATAAAAATAATTAATGAAGAGATATTTATTGAGACTAGCGAAAGGAACGAGAAAAGAAAACTCTAGGAAGTAAAGAAAGAAAAAAATCACAACATAAGCGGATTTTGTTTGCTAAAAATTATTATAACTTATCACTAACAATAAAATTCTCTCCATAAAAAAGAGCCACAAAAGTATGAGACAAGGAAAACGAATTTCCTAGCAGAATCTAAAGAGCTAATTTCTAGAAATAAGCCTTGTCAACCAATGGAAGTTCTAAAAGGTTCCGATATATTTGCACATTGGAAAAAAGGGCATGTTTATGTCGAGGATCAAGTCGAGCGAGTCTCTTGCATTCTGTGTAATCACGGCTCTCATCATGTAAAAAAAAAGAAAGGAAAAGAGATTGCGAGCACGTGCAGCTAAGAGAAAAAGAAAAATAAGTAAATATGCGGAAAAGATAAAGTAAGATAAGTTGTGGAGAAAAAGGAGGGATATATAAAAGTGAAAAAAATAGTATTTGCCCCATCCGAACAGATCAATAAGAGCACACAAAACCTCGCGCTCGCCACTCTCGTCGTAGACTTTGGTCTACGAAGAGCGAGAATTGCAGCGTAACCTACTAGAGATAACAACCCGCTCAGCAAGAAATTTACAAGGTTAAATCGTTGATCGGAAAGTGATTTGAGCGCAAATTTGACAGTCACAAGTGCAGAAGGGTGAAAATTAGAAGAAAAATTGGAAAAAATCGCCAAAATCCAGAGGTGAAACCGAGAAATTTTAGGTAAAAATTGATAGCAAAAGAATAAACTTTTTTCTTTGTTTGCTAATGATTCCTCCGCAAACTCAGGTCATGTCTTCTCTATCCGAAAGATCCGCATTGTAAAGCGGCACATGCAGCAATCCTGACAGAGAATTGGTCGGCTCCTTCGACGAGTTGGTGGACCATTATAACTTCCTGGAAGAAAATTTATTACTTCGGAGTTATATATCACCTCTATACCTTTAAATATTTACAGGCTGAAAGAATGTTATCAATATTGCGTTCTCTAGCTTTTCTGCATTTTACAGAATTTAAGATAAATATAAAAAATGCATGCTTTAGCTTACATTAGACAGTTTAAACGAAGCCATTATTTGCATAGGATTACGATAAGGACTTCCGTGAGGGTCTCGAGCCAAGAGAAGGACCCGAAGAAATCCTCTTTTGCTGAAACATATGCCAATCTGAAGAGCATCAAGCGCTGATTCTAAAACTGTCTTTGTTATCTGCCAAGCGCCTCCAGGCGCTGAGTTATAAATGACAAAATTGAACGAGCAACTGGAACAATTACGTCTAAGATTGCGCAAAAGGACCAACGTTGGATATCAAGACACTCTATGCATGAAAAACCTTTTGTCCAATATACTCGTACTCAAAGTTCTTTATATGAGCGCTGAAAAGACCATATTTATGTTTTATCTAGATTTTGCTAGCATTTTTCGCTACAAAAACGCCCATAACTCAGCTCAGCGTCTATAGGAGCTTGGCAACCACTGGTGAGAACGTAAGGAGAAACTTTGTATGAGCTTGAAATCACATCATTAAGCCAGAGTTTAGCCGCTGATTCTTTGATTCTTTTTTTTAGACTTGGTACGTTAAAGAGACTTCTCGTTGATAGGTTATGGCAGAAGTGTTACGACTGCCTTTTTTTCGGTGGAAATGTTCTATTTACCATTTGAGTAGCTTCAGGAAGTCGTATAGAGTTTAATAATAGAATCAGCGCATTAAATCCCATTACCTAGTTTCCAGCTCCATCTTAAGTTGGAATATTCGCCGTCACCTCGAGGAAGAAATATCTATTACATGCAATGTATTTGACGAATCTGAATAGACACGTGGCTTCAAATATAAGAAACAGTTACGAAAAACACAAAAATGAATATCAGGACCCGTGGCCGATCCCACATTAGTAACTGTGCACTTGCACCCGTTAGTCCTTCATTGTAAAAATTTCACTCGAGCGTTTTGAGCCCAATTTCTCTGTCTCGATATCACAGAGTTGTTTGAGTAATCGGTTTATAGGCTATCTGGAATGATTCAAATGACTTAGTATCGTTCCCTGCTTAGAAGGATTGAAAAACATCAAAGTTCTAAAGCTATGCTAAAGTAGTATTCCACAGATATGAGACATTTCTATCCGTCCTAATTCAGAGAAATTTGAAACAGGATGTTTTTCTTCAAAAGTTAGTTCATACAAAAAGTGCTTTACTCCTAGTTGAAAATCCCTCCAAATTTAACATACACTGAATTTCATGTTGCTTTGATAGATAGTTTGAAACTAGTTCGAAATTAGATGATTCTAGAAGCCTCATTATTTCATGAATATACACACGCTTTCCATGCTCAACATTACAGAACAATCTGATTTGTTAAAAGGACGATAGAGTATCTGCTTAACAACTCCATAATTCAATTTGAAAAGTAAATTAGTCAATTTTATTCAATTCTTTTCGTGTTCCCGAGTTTTTTTGTCGCATCAACATAAATAAATAGAAGTAAGCAGATAAACCATTCAACTTGCGATGATCTGAAGCGACATAAATTAATTCCAACTTGCAATGGCTCCATCTGTATGTTCCCACTAAAGGGTGATATATACCTGCCAAAAAATGTTAAGAACCTGGAAATTCTCAAGATTTTTTTGTTAGAATTGCAGCACCTTCTTAGCCCCATACTTTACGATCTCTTACTTTGCTATCTTAACGGCTCAAATGGTTCCAATGCGAGCAAATCATGATTACAATGCGGTTTCCATAATTTTTCTGGTTGAACACTCATGCAGCGGAGAACGTGGGCGAAACGCAAAGGATGACCGGCTGTCACGGACGCGCGAATTGTTGAAATTCAAACACTAAATGAAATGCTTTTGTTTTCCTACAATCATATTTCTCCTTTTTGTTTTAAATAGAGAAATAGGCTGCTCGTCATTTTTCTTCAAGCATGGGAGAAGATTTCGATGAGATTAATGACTTTCTGGGGAACGACTTCTACGATGAAGAACCTGTGATCGACAATGATAATGGTACAAATGTTCTCATAGTCGCACTTCTATTTTTGCTACGTTATCTTTCAGAGAATCCAGACGATCACGAATTAAACAACTTACTGGAGAAAGAGAACAAGGAGGCAGTGAAGAAACGCCATAAAATTGGGTATGTAGCCATTTTCTTCTACAGCTTACACTTCTTCTAATAACTTATGTGCAATAAATATCAAATATCAAATACCAAACATCTTTATAGACCACAACCAAAGCTTAATGAAGCTACGCTAACTGGGCCCAAAGGGATTCAAGCTTTGATGGATTCATTCAAAAATTACAAACCTGATCCGTCCAAAGATCCAGTTGGTTAATTTTCTTGATTGGCGTTTTGATCTTTGATTTTTTCTTTCAGTATGACAATCTAGATGTCATGCTGAAGAAATATGAGCACTGGGCACATGTCATGTTTCCGAAGTTAAAATTTGAAGACGTTGTAAGCAGATGTGAAGCACTCGGAGAAAAGAGAGCTGTAAAGGTTTGTTCCTTCTTTCTTCTTTATATTTTTCTTTACTTCCAGTTGTTTCTTTACTCCATTCAAAGCAGTGCTACTCCTACATACTGGATTCAGGTCTACATGACGAAATCTCGACTAGGTATGCCGCTTACCGATGAAGATTTTGCCCCGTTTAGGAAGAACAATAACCAGGTAACCCTTTCATTTCCTGTTTTTCGGTGTTGTTGATACCTTGGTTATCTATTTGAGATTATTTGGTCAAAATTATCCTCCTTTTTTCATGTTTATAACAATTTGTGAGCTTCGTTTTTATTATATTGCTAGCCACTAGGCCTCGGGCAGATTTCACGCGATTTTATTGCCTCGCGATTCTCCAAACAAGACAACAGTTGCAAGTCTCCCTTGCATGCCAATTATTTTGCATCCGGTTGTGAAGTTAGCCACGATTGGTCGTATCGAGAACTATCATGACCAAAATACGAGGTGATGAGCATGCATTGGACTCGTAAGTTGTCTCGTTGTGAGACTCGCGAGGCGATGAGTTCGCGTGAACTCTGCCCAAGTCCTTACTCTTCATCTATCCATCGTAATGTTCCGTTATTGAAGTTTCGGATTTGGTAGGTACAAGCGCCTTCTTTTGCACCGATTAGGATTTCATCATTCAGATTCATTCTTGAGAGAAGCGTAATTTTACACTTCACGTTTAATATCTACTTCCTAACCCTGATGCTCACACTTTCACAACTGGAGATATAGACCAGGTGCTCTAAATAGGGTACAATCTGCTATTTAGTCTTAGGGATCGTTCAGACCGCGCACGAAGGCGCGTCTCGTCTCGTCTCGTTTATCTCGACACACACACACACACACACACACACACACACACACACACACACACACACACACACACACACACACACACACACACACACACACACACACACACACACACACACACACACACACACACACACACACACACACACACACACACACACACACACACACACACACACACACACACACACACACACACACACACACACACACACACACACACACACACACACACACACACACACACACACACACACACACACACACACACACACACACACACACACACACACACACACACACACACACACACACACACACACACACACACACACACACACACACACACACAAGCGCCTTTGTGCGCGGTCTGAACGATCCCTTAGTACGGCATTCACTATTTACTTTGCTTTCGCGATCTCTCTTGGCATCTCTACGTTGCTTTAGGCGCACGAGCTTCGGCATGATGGCCGCGCGGCTATCGGGTTGGGATGATACTACACACTTCAACCCGGAAAGTTTAGAACGTTTTGCACGCTTGTACCCATGAAGCTGGTTTCTTCATTTTCCCTGCTTCTATAATAAAAACTTTGGGCCTGTCATCATATTAGATCTACCATGCGTGGTTTCCTTGGCTTTCTTGAGCCTCCGGAATTGCGTGCACGCATTTTTACAAGTTTTCCCGCACATTTTATCATGTGAATCTCCTATGAGTGGCCGTAATTATCAAATAACCCAGCGGATTCCACTACCCATTGGGTAAGCGAAAACGGTGCTACTGAGTTGGGTCGATACCCACAAAAAGCACTGCTGAATTCGCGAACCCATTCTCCGTGAATGTCGATCTCGTGGGTTAAAGACAGTGGCTTGAGAAAATTTTGGGTGCGAGCTTTCCAAACCGTGGCCTTCTGGATACGTTGAGTCCAGTGCTGTGCTTGAAATGTCATAAAAGTGCTTCTTACGGCGTTTTCCTACCCTGGCGATAGCTTAAGAGGACGGGCGAGGGATTGACATTAGCATCGCAATTGGCTGCCTGAAATCAGACACTTACCGCCAAAATGGGTGGATTTACAATCTCCTGCAGCCAGTCGCTGTCAACAGCCGGAATCCCTCGCCCATCCCCTCTAGCTATCTCCACGGTAAGAAAACGCCGTGAAAAGCACTTTTTTGACTTTTCAAGCACCGCACTGGACTCAGCGCATCCAGAAGGTCATGTAGGTGTGGAAAGCTTGCAGTCGCAATTTTTCCGCACCACCGCCTTTAAGCCTACCCATTTTGAACCCAGTGGGTTTGCGGAACGCACTGGGCTCGCTGATACGGTTACAAATTCTCCATGTCTAGATCATCGATGACGCGGCCAATGATGATGGTACAACCATAATTAATCGTGAAGAAGACGAAGATGATGAGAACTATTATGATCCTTTAGAGTCCACTGTGGAAAAGGGTATGTATTCTATCTCTCATCAAGCAAGTTTGAGTCTGCGTGTTTTCCTTTCAGAAAAGACGAAATCTCAAAGGGATGTTACTGATACAGAACATCAATCGGCTTCTCCTAGCGCGCTTGAAATAGATGAAGACATGATGGAGGCAGCAAATGAAGCTGCAAAACTTGCCGCAGAGGAAGAGGCGAGGCGAAGAGAAGAAGAAGAACTTGCATTAGCAGACGAAGTCATGGAAGATTTTGACATGTATTGATCTCGAATATCTTGCTGTACATTTTTACTTAATTATAGAACTGTTGGTGTCTTACCGCCGTTACAGACTTACTAAACTTTAGCGTATGGCTTGGCTACTGCAGATATCACTTTTACCGTTGTCACCCTTATTACCATTGTCAAGAGGCAGTGTCCCAGCAAAGTGGGAGTCTCGCGCTATAAAGCGATAATTGAACATATAACGCCTCGAAAGCGGCTGGAACCCCGCATTCCGCGCAGACGCCGCCCAGTCGCCGACTGTAACCACCTGCGTTCAGACCGCACATCGCACATAGTTTTGGCTTAGGGTCCTACGAGGCTGCGTTCATACTGACCCGGAAGTTCAGGAACAGTTCCAACACAGCGTTCAGTCCGAGCGCCGTGCTGGAACTGTTCCCGAATTTCAGGATCTGTATGAACGCAGCCTAACTAATCTGCGCTCCAATCTTGGCGAATTCTGCTCCACAAGTTCGCTCAAAATTGATGGGTCAGGGAGGATGGTTTGTGACATTTTTGGGCTCCTCAAGCATACTTTTGGAACCAGAGGGGCGGATAAGTTCAAATAAGCGAATTATTTTCATAGAATTGCCGGAATGCTACCTAAATGATCATGCAAACAGCGCTGCAGTCTCTTTTTCCACTATCACGCTATCGTATCGGAAATTGCGACGACCGATACATGTTTTCTATTAGGGTGATCGAAAAGTAATGGGACACCTAATGAATAAATGTAGTTTTCTCAAACAAAAAATCAACTGGATGTCCAAGTTTTGGAAGATGTTGATACATATCAAAAGCTTCTGATCGAGGTCTCTCGATGGGGACTGTCCCAATGGCGCCGTGTTTATTATTTTTACAGTCGAGTAAATTATCCGCTTAATATAGTGTGCTTACACAGAAGGTGAAATGCAGTGAAATTTGCGCGTGAATAAACAGCCACGCCAGTACTGCCGGTATTTTGCGCGCGCAATTGACCGGCGTCACAGTCGAAGCTATTTGTTCACACAAAAGCTTTATCGCATTTCACCTTCTGCGCAAGCACACTGTATTAAGCGAGAAATCTGCTCGACTGTAAGTGCTTAAAATCTAGGTTCGTTACCAAATATTTTCGAATTTGAAGCAGCAACGACGCAGTAAAGCAAGTGAGTTTGTCAAAAATATATGAGTGGGTTAAGGTACTGTCACCAAATCCACGGTAGCCTGATGGTCCCAATGCTTGCAACAGACTAGCTTTTTCTTTAGTTGAACAGTCCCGTAAATTGTGCTCATGCGGCTTCTGTTAATTGCAATAAAGTGCTACTTATTGTTGAAAAATCGAGAGGAATCTGAATAGTTTGGGATTGTGACCAACGAAGATCGCATCGATAGCTGTAGCAAGTACAGTACTACTTGGAAGAAATCACAATTTTAGTCTCAAGTTCGTTGGCGAGAGAGAAAAATGCAATATTTCAATATTTATACTCTCTCCACTGGGAAAAACCAGTTTTGTTGCTAGAAAAATTCGTAGAGGTATTGTGACAATCAACTGTAAAGGATTAGGCCTGTATTCCCATACAGGTTTTTTTCTTCGTTTGCTGAAGAACCGAATAATGATTTCGTTGCCAAGTGCACAGCTCACATCCCGAAAACGGTCTGAAAAATGTTTTGCAAATTTTTTCCGGAAATGAGAATATTGCATCCGTTCCCAGCTATACACTGCGTCGTCGATTCTGAATTTAGTGTTAACCAAGAATTTGAGGAGAAGAGAATCTGCAAGTCTGCGAAGAAAGTTTACTACAATTCATCCGTACTCACAATCACAAGTTTTTAATCCATGCTATAATAAATTTTTTCGGTATTCATGCGTGCTCTAGAGAACTTCAAACTTGGGTAAAAAAAATTTGCATAACAGATGATTTTATCCGTACAAGTTGACATTTTTTGCGCAACAAATGAGAGAGATACCCGCTCATAAGAACGTAGACAGTCCGCAATGTAGTCCAACGCAAGACGCATTTACAAACCTTCTGAGTGCATATTTATTTATCGTATATATCTCAACAATGAATGTTCGAAGATTCAGAAACATCTCAACTATTTTATCTTTCGCTTATTACCTCAAAAGTTTGGTAAAAAATAAACACGAATTGTAAATTTGAAATTTAGTGTATATAAAAATATGATTTAGTATACAAAGTAATGGAGCTAATCACAGCAATCGATATTAGGTAAAACGATAAATTGAGTCCCGCTTTGTATAAACAGGAAAAAAATCCGGTTGAATTTCGTGAGTCCGCGTCTGTACATGTTCGTTTTCCTTGTTAGTTCTTAAGAAAGTCATACCGACATAAAAAAGAATTCATTCATTTATTGCATGTTGCTGTCGGCCGTATAAATGTTATCGGTATTCATGCGTAGGAGACCAAGATTTCATTCACTGCCACACAATTTAAAAAAGTGGTAAGTGCTCTTTTGCGCACTATGAAATTATTATAATGCGATCTGACTGTAATCAAAACATTATAATATCAGCTTCAGAACTATGAAATACTTGAATAGAATGATCTGTTACCGTCTCATTAGCAAAAAAATCATTTCTCCCAAATATTCGTTTTTTTGCAGATTTTCACTGGTTTATAAATACTAAATATCGAGTTGAACTCAAAGCAGCGTCCAGGCAGAACCTCGCCTTTTCCTTTTTGCCTTATCCAGGCTTCTTCATGGCGCTGATTCCAAACATGGCACTCGAAATGCGAGAATTCCTCAAACAACCCCTTTTTTTTGAGATGATTTGTGAGAAGCCTCGACGAGTGTTTCTATTGCAATCCTTGTCGAGAGCAGGATTAACAGGTAGACACTACGTGTTCCATCGTGTTCGCCATGTGAGAACACGTCAAGGATTGAGGAGATTTCGTTCAAGTCTCGAGGACCACGCCCACTTCCTCAAACGGCCCGCCCCTTTGAAGGACTCTTCTCACTCCTTGACGTGTTTCACGTGGCAAACACAATGGAACACATAGTGTCTACCTGTTAATGCTTGCTTTCGATAAGGATTGCATTAGAAGCACCCGTACAGGTTTCTCACAAAATTGTCAAAAATGGGGTTTTTGAGGAACTCACGCATTCTGAGTACCATATTTGGAATCAACACCATGAATAAATGGGCCTGGATAAGGCAAAAAAAGAAGTCGAGATTCTGCCTGAACGCTGCTTTTAAGCACGTTTGCCAAGCTGAGAAATCCGCTCGGCTTCAAATCAATAAATTTTTCGCAAAGCATCAGACGAATCTAAAAATACCTGGTAAAGTTCAGAGTTAATCAATTGGCATCGTAAACTCGTAATATAATTCTATAACGAAACTTGTCAGTGACACTGATCAGCAAAACGCAATTATAAACAACGTATTCCTTGAAAGCAACGCCTCTATAGCAATTTCTACGTCTTACCATTCCTATCTATATTTTCCAAGTTCACGTCGGTAGTGAATATTAAAAACCCATACTATCTTCAATGGTGTACAACAAGTGGACTATCTCCTAAATCCTTTCTTCTTTACTCTTCTGTTTTGCCTAGTATCCTTGGATCCATAAATGCGATAGGTAGAGAAATTTCTTTGACCCCCTTCAGTTTAGGGCCGGCTTCTGGCTGACCCCTTTCACCTGAGGTTGAGACTAGAATCAAGGCAAACGGCAGAATCAAACGGGTGTTACAACACTTTTTGTTTGGAAAGGAAACGCCAGCTGCTCTTTTCCTCAGACATCAATACTGCAAGAAAGTATCGAAGCAATAGCGTTTTGCTGAAAAAACGCAAGCTTGAGACCTTCTGCGCACTCAAAGTGGCGTTGATAACGAAAAATAATCAAAAAATAAAAGGATGTCTGCTTCTTTGAATAGTTAACATTGTATCAATGAATACACACTGTTGCAAGAAAGAGATGAGCAACAGTAGAAAATCTGGACTAGGCGGTGATGGATGCATGTTTACTGGCAAAAATCGTACCATTTCTCCTTTTATTAGAGAGAATAATAACAAATAAAATAGCAGCTAGATTATTCGTTTCTCAAGCTTTCAAATCATATATAAAATTCGAAGAAAACCTTCTTGGTTTGAAAATATAATTACTCAGAATTAGCTGATATTGTAGCTAGATAAAAAAAAACTGCTCGTATCTCGCTTCACAGAGAAGCTAGAAAAAATAGACGGTCTACGTCGATTCCTCGTTTTCTTAGTATACAAAGTGTTGGTGCACAAAGTTTACCCTATCCAAAAAATTCTTGCTCCGGCGACCCATAGAAAGGCATTTTATCTGGAATCATGTCCATTTTCAATAGCAGATTTCTGCCAAACAAAAACCTAATCACTGCTGGTTATCTATCTCTAAGAAAGAAAAAGTCTTCATTAACAAACCTAAACCGTGGATTTCCTCGCAGCATTCATTTGGAGAGCAGAAAGTGAGGGCACAAAATCAGTTGATATATGAAGTACATAAAATTCCTCATATCTCGCGGCACAGAAGACCTAGAAAAAGGCGATGGTCTACGTCGATTCTACAGGGTAGCCGAAAAGATATGGGTGCCATGTTTGATCGTGTCTCATCGTTCGTTGGCTGGCGCAAAGAAAATCATTTTGGCTCTATAGTTTGCAACAAGCGGTCGTCTAATTACCAAGAAATTATGAAGCTGTGCCCCCACCGCGGAGTCATTGCCCGCTTGGCTGGACACGGCGAGTCCGCGGCAGCTATTGCAAGGAAGCTAGGCACGCCTTTAACGTCCGTCCAGAAAATTATCAAACAGTGGAGAGAAGAAGGAAATGCTGCTCCAAAGCCGAAAACTAGTCGTCCGCGCAGGATTCGAGGAATTATCAGAAAAAGGATTTGCAGGAACGAAAGGAGGTCAGCCTGAACAGCATCGCGAAAAACCTGAACATAGCACGTTCGTTGGTTCAAGCCATAGTAAAAGATGAACTGGGACTTCGCAGCTACCGAATGCTTATTGGACACCAACTGACCAGCGCAGCAAAAGCCAGTGTTTGGAAAAGTGCAGGAAATTGTCGGAATTTTTTGAGGTGCGCCGCCGTGAGGATGTCTTGTTTACGGATGAAATGCTTACCATCGAAGGGTGTCGGAATCCCCAAAATGACCGTCAGCTAATCAGTCCAAGGGATAAACAGTCACGGAAGCGAAAAATCACTGGAAAGTAACTATTTCCTCCAAGTCTGATGGTCTGGGCAGGAATCTCAGCGAACGATAAGACGCCGCTTGTTTTCATGCCGAAAAATGTCAACATCAACGCCACGTTGTACCCAGAGGAAGTTTTAGAAAAGTACGTCCTTTCATGGAAAAGAAGTCATCCACAAATGATATTCCAGCAAGCCTCGGCACCGGCACATTCAGCGAATTCGACATTGAGGTATCTTTCAGCCAACCTAGATGATTATCTGCCCAAGGATCTTTGGCCGTCCAACAGTCCTGATTTGAATCCGATGGACTTCTCCGTGTGGAGTGTGCCAGATAATAGTATGAAGGGAAAGAATATCATAAGTCTGGAGTGCCTGCGCAACGAATTGGAAGGTGCCTGGACAAAAATTGATACTGATTACCTGCGCCGCAGGTCGCCTCGGTAAAGACAAGACTCCAGGTTTGCGTCAGGGTCAGAAGAGGCCATTTCGAACAATTCCTCTAGACATCAATATGCAAGCTTTGTTTTTGGCAGGGACACAGTAAAGGTCAGGATTTAGTGTCAGGGCCCGGCACAAGGTGGGCAAACGGGGTTTTCCAAAACGAATACCCCTTTGATCCCAGTAAGTTTTACGAATACTCCCTTGAGCCCAAAAATGACGTTTTGTGCTTGTGCGACGAGATTACCGACCACACTTCGCCTAAAAGCGCTCAAAAGCGCCCAAATTGCTCAAATTCCTCATATTACTCAAATTGCTGTACCAAGATAGGAAACAGGAAGAAAAATAAGCAGTAAAAAGGATTAGCGAATGAGAAAATATCAAAGAAACGCAGTCATAGGAATGAGAGACGCCGTTCCCGCGCGTATCGATTGGCTGGGGCGCGCTTTCCGTCTTAGAAAGCTAGGCTGCTGATGCGGTTTTGGGCTCTAACAAGGACAAGAGGAGGAGCTTCGGAACCAAAATTTCACCATGTAGTAAACTTTAGGTGTACAACAGATTTATGTAAAAATTTTGAGAAAATTATGTGAATTGAGAGTTTTGCCGACCTCAGGTGGGAATTAGGTCGGCAAATGCCGACCTAATTTGGAAATAAGTTAAGGAAACTCTTCACTCACATAAGTTTTTCATAATATTTCATACTTTATTACTTAGTCCTATTGCGCATATACACACCGAAGCCCGCGCGATTTCATTACCTCTGCGTTGCAAACGAGCCATTTTTCCATTTCTTTGGTAGCGCAAAATTTCCAGAAAAAAGTTTGCCACAACCTTCAGTCACATAATTTCTCAATGAAACTCCTCAGTTAAGTCCTGCAAGCCCGTGTGCATGTACTTACCAAGTTTCATACCATATGGTTCATCTGCGCTTTCCAAAGGAGCCGTTTAAATTCACATTTTCATTTACCAGTTTTGCGAAATTCTCGGAAAAAATGCTAATTACTCGTTCCGTTCACATAAGTTTTTCATAATTTTTCATATTATGTTTCCACTAGCCTCTGTCCGTTCGCACACAAAATTTGGTGCCATATCGTTGCACACACACTGAGAACTAGTCATGTATGCAGTTACAAATAGCATCGCTTGGGCGACGTCGCGCGCGGCACTTAGCGACGGCGCGGTTTGACGCGCGCGAACTCCAGTGTTCGCCTGTTGAGGCACATAACATGTCAAGATAAGTAGCGAGCATGAACTACCAATTTTTTTCCGGGGCTCTGCCCCGGACCCCGCAAAAACGATTTCCCCTTTGCTTTTTGCCCCAGAACGATTTCCAGCTTGTCATTTGCCGACCTCGTGCCGGGCCCTGTTTAGTGTTTGGTGACAAATTTACGTTTGTTGGTGCAACGCCCATACTTTTCGGCCACCCTGTATATGACTTCAGCTTTCGAATGGCATGTAACTTGTTGAGACATTTTGCTTTCAGGGCTCACTTACCCCTTTCACCTTACAAAGATGGGAGTAGCAGACCCCGTTCACCTGGAGAGGGCCCGGCTCCCCCTATCGCACCTACTCTCAGATAATCGCCGGGGGCAAGCGGCCATGCAAATTTTGTGCAAGCGGGACCGGAAAAATAGTTCGCTAATTTTTTGTGGTCCGCTTGCAGAAATTTGGAATAATTTTGGCCAATTTTTAGACGAACGCTCGAAGATCTATCGCGGTTTTTCTATACATAAGTTGCGGCACAGTGGCCGCATTCTCGCGGATTTTCCGCGAGAACATGCAAAATTATTGAGAGCCGCACGGTTCTTTTTGAAGGACCGCACAGCCCTCAGGTACTTTCCGCTGAAAGAAAGTACCCCAAACTTGGGTAATAAAACCATCGATGGCACCTCTGCCACATAGAGTCTCATCTTTTCTCGGCGTACGCCCGAAACTGCGTAAAAAGAGTCTGAGCGCCTGCTGAAAGTTTGGCCAGCGCTCGCTGAAAGAGATTGTTTGACGAGCGCTTGCAGAAAATTTTGTATTGATGCCCGCTTGCAGAAAACGCAAATACCGCCCGCTGAAGATTTGGCCACGCCCCGAAATCCTGCTGACCGCCTGCAGAAAAGCGCGAGTTTGCGGACCGCCTGCCCCCGGCGATTATCTGAGCTCAGACAATCGCCGGGGGCACTCAGACAATCGCTGGGGGCAGGCGGGCACCGTAAAAATAGATTGCTGATTTCTCGCACCCCGCTCGCGGATTTTTTGCAAAGCAATCAGGACTTTTCGGAAGACCGCTTGCTGAGTCAGCGGATTTTTGAGAGACCGCCTGTTGAATTTTTTTTCGCTCTTATCTTTTGCAGATATATTGCTGAATCTCTGAGGAATCGAGAATTCAGCAAGCGGTCTTCCGAAAAGTCCTGATTGCTTTGCAAAAAATCCGCGAGCGGGGTGCGAGAGATCAGCAATCTATTTTTCCGGTGCCCGCCTGCCCCCGGCGATTGCCTGAGCAGGCGGGCACCGGAAAAATAGATTGCTGATCTCTCGCACCCCGCTCGCGGATTTTTTGGAAAGCAATCAGGACTTTTCGGAAGACCGCTTGCTGAGTTCTCGATTCCTCAGAGATTTAGCAATATATCTGCAAAAAATAAGAGCGAAAAAAATTCAACAGGCGGTCTCTCAAAAATCCGCTGACTCAGCAAGCGGTCTTCCGAAAAGTCCTGATTGCTTTGCAAAAAATCCGCGAGCGGGGTGCGAGAAATCAGCAATCTATTTTTTCGGTGCCCGCCTGCCCCCGGCGATTGTCTGAGTAGGCTTGGATCTCAACAAGTTCTTTTGCTTAAATTCGAAACGTTCAAAACGTTAGGCCGCCACTTACTAATAAATCCTTGACCTCTCTTGGCCTACTAATTCACTCACAACATACATACTAACAATGCCGAGATTAAGAAGAAGCTTGGAAATTATTAACAGACGTTTTGCTGATGTCTTTCTTTATGCATTAATGTGGTATTCTATTATGCATATCTCCAATTCCTCCAGTTTTCTAACATCTCATTCCCTTTTTTGTTATTATCGTTCACGTGTTTCTACACGTATAAGTAAATAAATAAATAAATAAATAAATAAATAAATAAATAAATAAATAAATAAATAAATAAATAAATAAATAAATAAATAAATAAATTTGTCAATATTACGAAAATCCGGAGCATATGTAAAAGGAATTTTGTTGACACAACGAAGGGCCCTGCTCATTATAACCATTATTAAGGTATGCAAGAAAATCGTTTTTGTAGCAAACTACTTGGAAAAATTGCAATGAAGTAAATCACCTCAGCGAATTGTAAAAAAAACCTTATGTTTTTGCACATGCTAGTATTTGAAGAAGCACCTTATGGTTACATCGATAGCTTTCTTGCATCTCTATATGAACCTCGTTTCAATTTGGCACATATTTCTCAGCATTTTGTAGAAGTTGATTTTGCAGGTCATTTCTGATCCTAATCATATGCTCATTCATTGTCATTACTCTCTACACGCAGCGAGATGGCACAAAACCAAGAGCAGAGGTAAGAAGGATTTTTTGTTTTTGGGATAATTGATGAGGCAAAGGACTTGATTTTGTGACATCATTAACTGCCTAGAAAGGTTGAAAATTCTAAGATTGCTTGTCTTAGCTGCACACATAGAATCAGAAAATATAAAAAAGGGGATTCATGATTTTCCTTTCAGTGTAACAAAATTATTTACATTACAAGATTATTTACAAAATTACAAAATGAACAACATATTCTGAGGTAGCAAGGGAAAGTCACGAAGTCGTAGTAACCGAAAACTATAAGCTGCATTCTGCTTTCTTTTTCTGCAGAGCTCTTTTGGGAGAGAGTTAGGAGCATTTTTCAAGGCTAAAAAGTGAATGGCAGGGATAAAATCAACCGTTACAGTCTTTCTTGACCTTCAAATTGTGCTATGCAGAATTTCTTCGTTTTTTCAATAGTGATGTTTTTGTTTGGATTCCTTTGATGCTTGCTTGAAAATCATCAGAACCTTTAGTCCATGGTTTTTACCTATCTTGACTATTGCGATTTCGTTTTGGACATTCAAAAAAGTTTTGATAATAGTTGGATAGAGTAAACACAATGTTGTAAAACTCATTTTTTGGCATCGATAGCTGGTTTTCCAGTATTTTTAGAAACAAGTTTTCCAAAAGTCTTCACGTTTGCGAAGTTGTTAAACAAGAGTTTCAAACACTATGAAATCTTCGCAAATTAGAACTTTCGGAATCGATTATGATTGAACACTGATTTTAACAAACAAATGAGTTTCTACCGCCTCAAAATACGATTTTGAAGTTTTCGGGTGCAGACTGGTATGCATTGAAAAAATAGAATTAAGAGATTTTTTCTTCGAGGCCTTTACGCATCAGAAAGGAAAAACAACTATCAGAACGAGGAGAATAAGCTGCGTCGAACGACACCCTAGTTGTCTGCCGTCTGATGATCTACGAGGTTTGGTATAAACAAAAATCAAATTTGGCAGCATCAAAATGATAATTTTAGAAAATTTGGAAAGCCAGCTATCGATGCTAAAAAATGGTACTATTCCACATAAGTTGACCCAAAAAATGAAAATCGTGAATTTCGCTAAAACTTCGTCTAGGGGGGTTATTTGGTACGCTGAACACGAATATGATGTTTATTTCGTGCGACAGCGCCATCCGGTGGAGTTACGGTAGGATTACGGTAGGGGTCAAAATCACGGATTTGCCCGAAATTTGGCCCAGAGGGGTTATTCGACCCGCTAATGCCAAATATCACATTGGTTTTGAACCGTAGCGTCATTTTATCGAGTTACGGTAGATACACGGTGACGGGTGTAAAACATAGTTCATCCCGAAACGGGTGTGTGGCGATTTGGATGATCGTGAAGCTTTGCACACATGACCACCGCTGCGCGCTACACACTCTGCTGCGGCTTTTGCCTAAGCAAAACACAGGGGAAAGATACATTTGCCGATTTGTGATTTTGACCCCTACCGTAAACCTACTGTAACCATGCAGGGAGACGTTTTTGTGCGGAAAAAGTGTGACATTTCTAATCAGCATGTCGAATAACCCCTCTGTGCAAAGTTGCAGCGAATTTCGAGATTTTGACCCCCTACCGTATATCCACCGTAACTCGAGAAGATGACACTACAGTACGAAACCAATGTGATATTCGGCGTCAGCGGGCCGAATAACCCCTCTAGGCCAAGTTTCGGGCAAATCCGTGATTTTGACCCCCTACCGTAATCCTACCGTAACTCCACCGGATGGCACTGTCGCACGATATAAACATCATATTCGTGTTCAGCGTACCAAATAACCTCCCTAGACGAACTTTTAGCGAAATTCACGATCTTCATTTTTGGGTCAACTTATGTGGAATAGCGCCCAAAAAATTGTAATACAATGCATGTCGCGGCTAGCGATGCACGCGCTCCTCAAAGCAGGAGGCCATAAGCACCGGTTGATTCGCACATCTGGTCGCGATTACAATACAGCCTCAGCTTCGCAATCGCCGTCGGACCCTTCCTTGCTGGCGCGTAGCCAACAAAACGGCTAAATAAGGCTGAGCGTCTCATTTGTTCGCCTGCTCACTTTCGCCTTTGTCTGTTATTTTTGTTTGTGATTTCAATACTGCATAATCGCGCCTTGAGCTCCCGCATTGGGTGTTTTTGTTGTTGACCAAGAGGTAGAAGCAGTTGCACAGGATTTTGGATTCAAGCGCAGTACGCGCAATGACGAAAGCAACCTTTTTTAAAATTGTCGTTGAACTAGAATTATCGGGAGCGGAGAGGGTGCACCCTTTTCTTCGGGACTGGGCGTCTGGCGACGGATCTGTTAGGTCTGGCCTCGGGAGGTTCATCTTTGAAGTAGAGTCTGACGGGATGCGACCGCTCTGTGTTTCTTCTTCTTTTACATGTTTAGTAGTTTTAGAATGTAGTGTAGTTTTTATGTTTAAAGATAGATGTAATTAATTTAGTCGGTCTCTTTTTCTTCGTCAGCGTTTACGCGCTAATATCATGTCGTTACACGAGTAGGGGTAGTCCTCGGCAGCGGTCGATGAGGAGTAGCTTACTTTATCGGACGCCCAACATCATGTAGGAGACAATAGGGATCTGGGATAGCTGAGGAGAGCACTTGCGGAAGGTGCTGATCCCATCGAGCCGCCACAATGCGTTTCGCTTACTCTACCTCACAATTATTGCAGCATTTCCAAAAGTTCGGAACGAAAACTTAGAAAAATTGCAAAAGTCAGGGTACTCAGACAATCGACCGGACCCGGTCTCCGAAGCAGAAATGGGAGGTCTCCGGAGCAGAAATGGGAGGGCTCCGGCGGACAAGTGGCAGACCCACCGCTGGGGAAACGCCGCGACCCTGCCATTTCTCCGGCGGAGGGGTCCTATTCGCTGTCTGAGTAGGTAAAACCAGGGCTGAAGATTCTGACGATTTTTCAAATAAACATTAAAAGAATCTGAGCAAAAACACACGGCTGGAAAAAGGGAAAAATTCGGCATGAAACACTTTTTAGAATGCTTGCCTATCTTTATTCTGTATGATTTGAGGATAGGTCTAAACACAAACTTTCGGACCGGCCTTTTTCCTCATTAAAATGAGAGATAAGCGAAGACGAATAATTATGCCTTTTATTTTTCGTTTCCGTTGTTCGCTTTTTGAAAAATCGCAGAGCGCAGACATTTCGCAGACATCGCAGTCACCCAAATGTCAAATTTGAAACTTGTTCCAGTTTGCACCTGGCAGAAATAACATTTCATCTACAGCCTTTCAAAATTCATAGATTTGAACGTTCTGGTCAACAGATGCTAGTAATCTTTTGCAGTTGTGTAGTCTTCCAGGTCCTACAAGAATCTAGAAGCTTTCGGGAATGTTAATCTCCGAGGGAAGTGGGTGCAAATACTAGATCTGAAGTCCTTGATTGTGCAACATACCGCATCTATTCCAAAACCAAAGAACACTGTTCTGAAGTCGCGAAGCTCGCGCATAATCTCGAATTTCAAAGCCAAATGGTAAAGCCGGATGATTGATATCTAATTTCCAGGAAATTTTGGAAAACTGTCAGTGCGTCGACGCGGATGGAAATACTTATGACTTTTGTTATCACCTACCTGAAGATAGGAGTATTCGTGCGAGAAGATTTTTTTGCAAACACTTACCAATAATCAAAAAATTTGGTGAGACTTTAGTGCCTGGATTGCATAAGATAAAGCAAAAGTTTGTCCTCTGCCAGAGGATTTGAAAGAATTTTACGTTGAGCATTGTTCATAAATAGCATAGGAAAACTTTGTGTCTTTTTCTTTCTTGAAGGAGCTTTTCTTCAACAAAAAAAAAACTTTTGTTACGCTCTGTTCAAGTGAAATGAAGTTGATGAGACTAAAGGCCTTCGTATCAGTTTGCCTGAAAACTAGTGGTTCAAAATTTCGAAAGTATCTCAAAGGCTTTCGAACCTCTACCTAAACTTACTGTTCCACCCTTCTCTTTCTCTTACTCAAATTACACATTGCCAATTTAGGTCTATTAGACACATACAAATTACCTCTGACTTGGAAACCATCTCCTCCAGTGTTCGTTACCGCATTCTCAGAAAATCATCAAAATGAATCTTTAAATCTTGTAAGCACGTTATGACAACTAGCACAAAATTATTTTGTTCTGTCGAACAAATTATTTGTTAAGATCAAAAGTGTTGCACAACACTTTATCAACCAACGCATGATAGTATACGATCTAGGAAATGTAGATCTTGATTTGTTCAAGGTAAATTATGTTTTCTCTGATTAGTTATCGCAATCATAGACTTCAGAGAACTTCAGAAAACTTCAGAGATGACTACACTCATTGAGGCAGGTTTGTTTCAGGAATGGAAATTTCTTGAATTTCGTAAATTCAACTTCGATGAATATCCCGCATACGTAAAGTCGCTAAGAGAGTTTAGATGGAAGCCGTTAATTATTGCGGTATTTCACTTTCGCTTTCATTTTTTTGAGTTTGATTTATCAGTTGGCAAGAAAGCTTTCGGATACGTTTGGACCACAACCGGGCATGCGAGAGCGCAAAATAGCAGAATTATTTGCAGGATTTGGGGGAGGAATTCATCTTTGTTTATTATTTCCCTGTGCAAGCAATCCATACAGCTTATGCACATATTTGTGCGTCTAACAAGGGAAGGATACTTGGTCGAAGAGGGGTTTCCATATGAAATGTGTACCATCTTATTGAGCATGGAACGCTGATTCCAAACCTGCTTTCCTTATCTACAAAGCGCTTCTTGGAAAGGACTTCAAGGAATTTCTATTGGTAAAAATTCAGTGGTTTGGCTAGGGTAAAGACAAGTGTTGAGACTTTCCGGTTCTTGAAAGAGTAATGACTGACTAGAGCTTATTGAAGGTAGTATTGCATGAAACGCCCTGGTAGTGATAATATCCCCATTCGAGCTCCTAGACTGCAGTTTGAATGATCTTACAGTAGCCGCGCGTTCGAATTTTTGCTTCAAGAAAGCAGATATGGAAAGTAGATTTGGAATCAAATCTTAAGCTCTATAAAACAGTACACATTTCATAATGAAATGCCACTTCGACCAAGTATCCTTCCCTTGTAAAAACACTTGAGAGCGTGGTAGCGTTGAGGAATTTTGTAGATTCAAGTTCCGTTAAAATCTATCTTTCAGAATTTCCTCCTCTATCTCCTCTAAAAGCTGGTTAGCCCTTGTTTGGTGTATTTAGGGTCTTTCCTCTGTCAAACAGCATGGATTATGTCCCATTTAGTTCTCATATTGAAGCAAAATTTTGCCGGAATTCAGTATACGAAAACTTTCCTATCAACTCAATGCAGCTGTTTTGACTTGACAAGGCTCGGTACAACCAGGCACTTGAGTTTCGGAAAAGAAATGCCCACGTATTTAAAGTCAGATTTTAATTCAGTCATATAGGATTACCCTATGTTGAAACAGCAAACAAAGATAGTGTAGAACAAGCAACACAATGAACACAAAGAAGAAAGAAACAAACAGAGCAAAAATAAAGTCAAGTGGGCATAGCGGAAGAATCTGTCTCTGTCAGAATACCATCACTGATCTGAAGATAACTCTTCAAGATAGTCTCAAACTAAGATAACTGTGCAGGAAAGAGTCCCTTTCTGATGAGTTTATCCATGCAATCGTTTTGAGCGTTTGATAGAAAAAACATACGAAAGAATCTTAACAATTTTTTGTTTTGGGGCTATTATACTAGTAATGCAGCTTCTCTGGTGCCTTCTTCAACAGTCAAGAAAGAACCAAAATTATAGCGAAAAACTTTAGCTAAAAACTTACATTTAAAGTCAAATCTCTAAACAGGATAGACACGGTGCGGAGGGAAAAATCAAACTAGATTTGGCAAGGTCAATGTAATATCCGTAATGTAAGACGAGTGATATAGAAGTTGAATGCAACCTCATGTTCGAATGAGTTTTCTCCCTCCGTCTCCTCAGAGCATACTGATCTCAAGATTATGCGCGTCATTTTATTGTACATGCTAAATTTTATCTTGTTTTTACAAAAGCTCGTTTATATCAAGGAAATCTAATTGAGCTAACCTTGATCTTGTATATTCCTGAAGTTTGAGGAAATACTCATTTTGGTCTTTTTTTCAAACTCGGATGCATCGTTAAGATGTGCAATATGTCATTTACATTTAGATATGGAAATTATATAATAGTGTTATGGCTTAGTTCCTTGTTATCCTCTTTGTGAACTCATATGCTATGCAAGTTAATGTAAGGTCTGCCATCTAAAGGGTGCACAAAGCGCCCTATGTATACCTTTTCAATGTTTATAAATAACGCCACCAAAGTAGCTAGATTCCAACCGAGAGTCTATTCAATTTATTACGCAATCTGATAATGCTTGCCTTGATTTGTGCCTGTTCTAACACATGTTACACGATTGTCATACCTTGGTCTATCTGTAGGCTTTCAGGAGGCTTACAGATTTGAGATTAAATCTAACCAGGTAAGTTTGCGAAAGGGATAGTTTTTCAGTTTCATTCACATTTCTTAGTCCAGGGCTGTGGTTAAAGGCAGTGGATCGGCAAATTCCAACAACTCGGGATTTTAAAGCGGTAGGTTCCTTGTCGCTCAACTATGAAAACAGTGCAATCCCATCTGCACAGCATGCTTTCCCTGCCGAGAAAATCGCTCTCGAACGTACACGCGCAGGCATCTTACATGCATCTGGACGAGTTGGCAATTTCCTTTTCACCATTGGAGGCTGCCCGCCGCAACGCTATAACCATTGGGTCCTGCCACGATTTAGCGTCATCGGCCTTGCTCCACTCGTCCAATATCAAAGGGAAGGGCATTAAAAACACTCATTTTCGCCGTTTTCAAGCGCACAGAGGTGGACTTTCGGGATCAACGTATTGAATAACCCCAGGTAAGCGCAAAGTTGGCAAGGTTGAGATTTGCTGAGCCACTGCCCTTAATTCCTTCAACACTTGACTACTAATTTCTATAGTCCAGAAATGTTTCAAGTTGTTTGCCAAACAACTTTGCGATAAAACTGAAAATGCTCGCTTATGTGGGAGTATCGGTTGTAGTAGTATAGTTAAAGGCGTTGACGTACGTACTTGACTAGAGAGCTGAACATTTTTGAGAAGTCATTCATTCTAGGAAATATTAGGTTGTACCGAAAGTTTGTTCGCACCATTTTCAAAAAATGAAGGAGATAGAAGCTAAAAACCAAAATCAGTCAAAATTTGAATTTTTCGTGTAGGGTCGTAAAAAATCGGAAACTTGCAGCAAAAATCGGAGCAGTCGATATGCTAGGTTCCTTCACCAGCTCTTTCTAACAGTGCAAAGTTTGCGCCGATTGAGCGTCTCTATGAAAAGTTATATGTAATTTCCCTGAAAAATGCCAAAATAAATCAAAACCGCCCTTTTGTATTGCTTGCTTGAAAATCATAACTTTTCATAGAGACGCTCAATCGGCGCAAACTTTGCACCGTTAGTAAGAGCTGGTGAAAGAACCTACAATACCGACTGCTCCGATTTTTGTTGCAAGTTTCCGATTTTTTATGACCCTACACGAAAAAATCAAATTTTGGCTGATTTTGGTTTTTAGCTTCTATTTCCTTCATTTGTAAACAATAACGAACAGGTCAGGTACTGGTGCAAAGAGCATGAGTTCCTCTCTTATGCAAAATTTTGATCATACGAACTCGTCGAGAATATACAGAGTTATGGATTTTTGAAAATGATGCAAACGGACCTTCGGTATAGCCTAATATCTCACATTTGTCTTCAAACTCAGTGTTTAGACTACGCAAAAGTCTTTTATGTTTTGAAAGAATATCATCCTCTTCTTATGTACACATAAGTGTACCCAATCGTGGCCAGCTGCTCCATTATCTTCTTATCATTTTCAAGTGGAATTTCTCTCATGTAAACTTTGACGAGTCTCTGCTTACTGAAGTCATTATGAAGTTTTTTCTGTAAACTCGGAATTTTTGCGTCATTATTGTTGTATCTGTTTTGAATGTTGAAAGTTCTGAACGGAGGCAGGATCAAATAGCAGATGCAACTTTTGTAGACGCGCTTTTTCATCCCGTACTGCATTGAATGCTTAGCTGGAAACCTTTCATTGCAATGCCGTCTCCTAGCAATTCATACTTTGCCGAATGTTACCCTGGAACTGAAGAATATACTCATATTGCAAAAGTCAAAGTACTGAGTTAAAAGAAAAATGGCTCTGGTTTTTCCTGTGCAGCTCAGCGCCACTTGGCTAACACGGTGCCATTGAGCTGTGAAGAAAGGAAGTTGGGCACGCTTTTTGTTCACACCTTTTATTCCAGTAACTTTTCAAACATCTCTTTTTTCTCATTGCGCTTATAAACTTCAGATCTGACCATGCGACTGGCCGTTTTTTGTAGACAAGCCACTCTTGGATTCCCGCGTTGTGCGTGACCATATCAGAGCCCGTTGATGATAGTCATGTCTTAAACTGCTTGTAACTGCTGGGGATGTCCGAGAGCGCATTTGTAGCTGAAAACGATATCTTTTTATTTTTACTTTTAGAAGCGACATGTGCTTACCCACATGCCAGCAGTGCTGAGCCCGCCTCAGAGCTTAAAGGCAGTGGCTCGGCAAATTTCAACCTAGTCAAATTTGCGCTTACCTGGGGTTTTTCATTACGCTAATCCTGAAAATCCACTTTTGAAAGCTTGAAAACGACGGAAATGAGCGTTTTTCAATGCCCTTCCTTGATATTGGACGAGTGGAGCAAGGCCGATGACGCTAAATTGTGGCAGGGCCCAATGGTTATAGCGTTGCGGCGGGCAGCCTCCAATGGTAGGAAGGAAATTGCCAACTCGTCCAGATGCGTGTAAGATTGGCCTGCGCGTGTACGTTCGAGAGCGATTTTCTCGGCAGGGAAAACATGCTGTGCAACCGGAATTGCACTGTTTTCATAGTTGGGCGATAAGGAACCTACCGCGTTAAAATCCCGAGTTGTTGGATTTTGCCGATCCACTGCCTTCAAATCATACTGCGGCAACTTTGCAGGAAACTCTTCTCGAGTTTGGTGCTATTTGGTACATGGATAGTTCCGTAGTTTTCAAAAAAGGTGATCTCAACCACGTCTATGAGCTTGTGAAATGTAGAGAAACTGTCAAAGAACGGTAAGAATTCAATAATGGTTTCGTGGTCAAAGCGCAACTCAGACCTCCTCTGTTGTCGTCGGAAGAAAGAGACGAACGCGAGAACCGAACACCGCTTGAAAGCGATTGGGACATTCCGCAGTATCGAGAAAATCTTGCTGAATGCAGAAAGGTAGTTGCTTCCTTACTCCTTCTCTTAACCGTTCGTATGTGAATTTGAAGATGTCTGAAGTAATCATAATTTATGCAGTCAAGAGGAGAAAATAAGGTAAACTGCTAAATTTCAAAAGAGGAGAAAAAGCAAAATTTTTCCATCACACTATACACGAAAAATGCATTGGTGGTTGATTTTAGAAATAAGGCATCGAACGTATCGGATTTTCATCTTTTTATCTACAATAGTTAACGTCAAATGAGTGATTGCCTTACCTTTTGAGCCATCTAATTGTCTTTGCGTTACTTTTTCCAACGTTTTATACAGGGTGGGGCAAAAGTCTGGGAGCCTAGTACCTTTTCAAATAAAACCAGAAGGAAAGTGCCTAGGAACAAAAAATTTGGTGCACACATAAATCTAACCTTTACTAATACAGGGGTGCTTTCAAATTTTGAGATTGCCTCTTCTGGCTTCAAAGCAGCCCTTTGAAATCTTGGCGAGTCCGACTGTCGTGGCACGCAGACAGTGGTGATGAAATTCGTCCCACGCCTTAACGGTAACTGCTTATTTCACGGTGCAATTATGCGATGTGATAGAGCAAGCTTTTGGCTACAACGCACTGCGAAGAAATTTTTTTTTCGCAGTGTTCAGGAAAAAAATTAAAATTTTAATTAAAGGCAAGTGTACTCGTATGCTGGAAATCTGGATGCGATTGCGCGAACGGGAGCGAAAAATCGTAATCTGAAAAGTATTGAAATTGCTTGATCGATCGAACACCAGTACACGCTTGCATAGAAGACTCATGGAAAGAATATAGCCTAGAATTCAGTGCTTGCTGTGCCCCTATAGCTTTAAAATTTATTTTAGAGAAAAATGGCCGCTGGCACGCAGCTGGTATTCGCAAATTTTTATTTTGCTTTTTTAAAAGAATAGTATCTGACAAACGTAACGGCTAAGAAATTGATAGCGCGAAGTCTCCTCTACATTATACGCATCGAAGTGCTTTAGAATATCCACTGTATCGTTAGTTACGAAATAAGTTGTGAAGAACAAAAATTTCTATTTTCTCGTTTTGCAGAGCACTTGTTTGATAAACCCAACTCCTACAAAAACATATAGCAAGCATTTTCAGCCAGCCATAGTGTGTTTTGTAGAGGATGATCGCAGCAACATGTGGCACAAATTTGGAGTCAAAATCATCGGTAGTTTCTTGATTTATAGCACTGCAAAGTAGGCTCCCAGACTTTTGCCCCACCCTGTACTGTTCTCTCGAATGTGACAGTGACTTTTGCCATTAGCCTCCTTTACTGCAAAATAGTGCAAGAGTGCCGGGATAGTACAATTACCCAGATTGCTTGTTAAGAAGGATTGTACTAAAATAAAGTCAATAAGCAAAACCTTAGTAAAGAAAAATCTCAAAGTTTTCCTGCTGAAAACTAATTCTGAGAAAAAATTGCAATGATTTGCGATGCCAATGATTTGTTTCTTCGCAGCATATCCTTCCCTTAGAGGCACTGATTGTTTGTCGAAGCTGAACAAAAACATTTCACTTGATGGAGAGTCACTTTCTAATTAATTAAAAATAGCAAAACAATCATTGCGCGGCAAGTCATTCCTATCACATGATCATTGCTTATTCTTAGTTGGTTCTATGTAGACGCAACCATAATAATTCGTTTTACAGGCCGCGTGTTTGCTTCATAAATACACGGGGTATGGCATCTATCCTGCCACTTCACCAAGTTAGTCTGATCGAGATCGCAATACTGGTGGCATCAGTGAGTTAACACTCTTACTTTAGTTATATACGAATACTTCCCAACAAACAAGGAAGAAATCAAGAAACCGAAAGCGAAAATGTACGATGCTAATCTGATTTTCGTTGCTCAAACAAAGGATACAGTTGAACAGATCTTGAAATGGTACTTGTTAAGGGCTTGAATTGTAACAAGTCACCGCACGCTTGCTAATTTGATATTTGGTTCAGGCTTGTGCTCTGCGCACTTGAAGAGGGCTGCATGGCAGGCATGGGTGGTGAAACATCTTTCTGCGACTTCAAAAATTTTTTCTCGCATGAACCAACATGCCACAGGTTGGTTGAATGCGTATAATTCGATGGAAAGGTTGGTGCGTAATTCTTGTACATCAAGCCAAACCGTAACACGTCATATTCTACCCGCAATATAGGTTGCGGGCAATTATTCGATAAAGCAAAGTAAGCTCTATTATTCGAAAGCTTGCACTATCTTCAGTGCACAAGTTTGAAGGCAATAACTAAAAGAATTCATTTGTTTTGGAACTCGACAAAAATCGAACCTCCGTTCAATCTTGCTTATACGCTCCACATCAGACATTCATTTGAGAAGAAACGATTTTTCAATTTCTTCACCAAATGCTGAACCCTTCTCTTGCTAGTCTACACATAAATAAATTTGAGTGTTGATAAAGCGATAATTAGTGTGTTCTTTATAGAAAACTAGCTGGCTTACCCGGCTCCGCCGTATCCGGACCAAACTTGGCACACATACACTTCGGGCCCCGGCGCGTGTCACAGTCCACTTTTCGTTATCGATCGATGTCGATTTTACCGATTTTTATCGATTTTTTCGCAGAGTTCACCTACAGGGCTAGGAGTTGGCACAGGGGGGAAGTGAGCATGGGGATTCCGAATACAATATTAGTTTTCAGAATTATCGGTTACTTTTATTGATTTTATCGATTTTTTGTAAATTTTGACATGCGAGGCTGGGATTTTGTACAGGGGGTAATCGAGCATGCTGATTACGAACACAATATTAGTTTTCAGGATCGTCCATTACTTTTATCGATTTTATCGATTTTTTTGTAAAGTTTGACCTGCGGGGCTGGGAGTTTGCGCAGGGGGGTAATCGAGCATGCAGATTACGAATACAACATTAGTTTTTGGAATTATCCATTACTTCTATCGATTTTATCGATTTTGCAAAATTTGAGCTAGGGGGATGGAATTTGGCACAGGGGTGTAATCGAGCATGCTGATCACCCCCTTGGGGATGATCAGCATGCTCGATTACCCCCCTGTGCCAACTCCCAGCCCCCTAGCTCAAATTTTGCAAAATCGATAAAATCGATAGAAGTAATGGATAATTCCAAAAACTAATGTTGTATTCGTAATCTGCATGCTCGATTACCCCCCTGCGCAAAATCCCAGCCTCGCATGTCAAAATTTACAAAAAATCGATAAAATCAATAAAAGTAACCGATAATCCCGAAAACCAATATTGTATTCGGAATCCCCATGCTCGATTACCCCCCTGTGCAAACTCCCAGCCCCGTAGCTCAAACTTTGCAAAAAAATCGATAAAATCGATAAAAGTAATCGATAATCCTGAAAACCAATATTGTATTCGGAATCCCCATGCTCGATTACCCCCCTGTGCCAACTCCCAGCCCCGTAGCTCAAACTTTGCAAAAAAATCGATAAAATCGATAAAAGTAATCGATAATCCTGAAAACCAATATTGTATTCGGAATCCCCATGCTCGATTACCCCCCTGTGCCAACTCCCAGCCCCGTAGGTGAACTCAGCAAAAAAATCGATAAAAATCGATAAAATCGATATCGATCGATGACGAAAAGTAGCCTATGACACCCGCCGGGGCCCGTAGTGTATGTGTGCCAAGTTTGGTCCGGATCGGTTCAGAAATGGAATTTTCTATTCGGAACATACGTACACACAGACATACATACAGACAGACAGACAGACAGACAGACATACAGACAAACAGACATCCAGCTTTATATATAAGATTTGGTGTGCGGACCGATCAGCGCCAAACCTTTGCACACATGTATTCGACACCGGTCCACCCGTAGACTAATTTTCGCGGCGAAAATCGTACTCCTTTTATTGATTTATCGATTTTGAAGAAAATGAACCGAATGAATGAACTTTCGTGTAAACAACAGCGGTGCAGCTCATTTCCATTCCGCGACGAGGGAGAGGTACAACGGCGGTGCGCTTAGCAAGTATCTGCCCTGCGTTACAAAGAAACAAAATGAAGCCAAAACGCGAATAAGTTGAACCTTTAGGGTTGCGTACCAATCTTACTCTTAGTTGAGCCAGTTGAACCCACGGTGCAGGCGAAGCTGGGCATGTCAGTTAGTGATTTATACTACAAGCACTTAGATGGCATAAAAAATTGGATAAGGAGAGCCACACTTGACATTTGCCGAAGATTAGGCCTTGAAGGTTAGAAATCTAAAATGGTACTTTAAAAGGCTTATAGTACACAATCAGCGTTGAGCTCAGCATTGCTTTGGTAAAAACTTGAATCCCTTCTATTGACAAAGTATTCTGTGCACAGGTTTATTAAGTGATCTTTATCGATCCAATCAAAGTGTGATGTTTCGACGCCTTCGTCTTGCCTGCAAATGATTTAAAGTGTCATATGTAGCTCCACGCCATCAAACACCCTCCCTAATCTTGCTAGTTCTTGACTATCGCCTGACTTACATATTGCAAAAACGCAGCGCGCAAGATGAACATAACGAGAGATCACCATTATGGGAATTTCCGGCACCGGAAATGATGGTCACGGCGGAAGAATGAATAATACCCTAGATGACCATCGGATGTTATCTGATGTTATCTACAGATCGCAAAACGATGTGAATGGAAGGAAGTCTTAGGTTATGTACAGGCACTCATTTTTGTTGTTAATAGCTGGATTTTTCACTGAAATCCGGAACGCTTCTAATGCATTCCTCGCCAAGGTTTCCTTTTCGTAAGTCAAGATTTTACATCTGTTACTAAAATCATCTCCACCATGGGTTTCACTTTTATGCCTGTCCGGAGGTGATAATTGTCTTTTGCGCCTTTCACCTGTCTGTGTTCTTATGCGAGTGCCTAATGGTCTTCCTCTCTCTTCAATGTAGAGTGCATTATAAAACATTCAATCTGATAAATCAATCCCACTTTAGCACAATCGCCTATTTTACCGCCCGGGCATACTACACAGCATTGCTTCAAAATACGGTAACTATCATACGTTCTATTTTTACCCAACTGCTTTTTGATGTGTCGTTCGGAATGGACACTGAAGCAACATCACCTTCCAGTTCTACGCGTTGTATGCATTTTCGAAAAGCCACGTTGACGCTATCAGAGATAAACGGAAGGCATAGTGAAGTTTATTAGTTTAATGTTGTTACCATTTCTGAGATGTTGACAATAACTCAGACACTGGGAGCGGGCGAGCCGCGGCCCAGTTCCGGCCGGGCAATCGCAGCTCCCGCGGGCCGGCCGTTAATGAGCCGCGGCTCGGCCGTTAATGAGCCGCGGCTCGCCCGTAGTGGGCCGCGGCTCGGCCGGGAAAGGGCCGCGGCTCGGCCGGGAAACGGCCGCGGCTCGGCTGTATTGGCTCTTATCATATCGTTCTTCTAGCACTTCCAAGAATGGAAATTTCAGCTGCTTCTTTTAGCACATGAAGACAACAGAACAATCACATATTCATGACAACTCATTTATCTTCTGTGTCCAGAATATACATGAAAAATAGCCACAATCAGAACAGAGAAACAAACAATCTACAAAAAATGATGATATCCTTATTGCGCTGTTCTACTCCCATTGTTCTCAAAGGCATCTATAACATGTTTCATCATCTACTATCTCGATGTTGTCTTCGGCAGCCTCGACCAAAGCTTTTCTTTTCTGCCTCTGAAACATTTGGATAACGCTGAATTAGCCAATGTAAATACATATACGAACTCACATTACTTGTTCTTTCGATGTCCTCCTCGGGCACAGCCACAATCTTCCTTTTCTGTTTCTGGAACATTTGGAAATCGCAGAAGTAGCCAAGTTTTGTAGTCATGTATTAACTCACATTACTAGGGCTCCACGTATTGTCACTCTCCTCGTATTTCGATGCTCGGACATCCCTTCTGGAAGACAAAGTTACTGATAATCAAAATAACTTCGTTTCACCACGTACAGAGCTTTCTGCAAGGCCTGATGAAGGTGTGGTCGCCATTGAGCTCGCTCTTGTCTCATCTGCGAAAGCTCCTGGCTACATTGCATACTATTCATGGACTCACCATTAATATATCCCGGCGCTGCGGGAAGCGCATTAGAATCCATGAAGAATGCCCAAGCGAAATGACCGAGAAGCACCAACGCACTTGTTGAATGAAAACTACCTTAGTCAATGATCATTACGAGATCATGACTAACTTGTTAATTTGCATATCGCTGGTCAGGTAAGCAAAGCAAGGCCGCGGGTCGGCCGTTGCAACGAACAACGGCCGCGGGTCGGCCGTACTTAGACCACGCCTTCAAATTAGGGCCGCGGGTCAGCCGCGATCTGGCCACGCCCCCAAAATAAGGCCGCGGGCGGGCCGAAAAGGCCTTTTAAGGCCGCGGCTCGCCCGCTTCCAGTGTCTGAGAAGGTAAAAAAAGGTACCCATTGCTGCAAGCAATCTATGACACTAAATCTCGTGACTTCAACGTTCTTTTTCTCCGAAGCACATTTGCATGGCTGTTCCGTACATGCTCAGTGATAGCTTTCTTTACGGATGCAGGATGTGCGGATTTCAATTATATATCTATTTTACATTACTGGTCTAAGTATTGTTCACGTGGTGGAAGTGGCAGATCTGACAACCGATTTGATTAAGTTACATGTCACAATGAAGGAAACGAGAGTCACGGTTATTGGCAACGCCCAAATATCTACTAATATCGAAAAGCTTCTTAGCCTTTGTCTTTCATTCTCGCCTGCACAAAACGTCAACGCTGCGATTCGTCGCAAATTGGTCGGAAGCCTGCACAAACTTAGAGGCTCTTTAAGAATACGAGAGAGAAACAAAAGTCGCGCTACGACAGCAGTCAACAACTCTCAAAGCCTTCTACCAACAATTCCATTCCCACTGTTATTTTACAGACAACCCGGACCGTTCTTGAAGTAGACATCAAATTCCGTTTCTTATGCTTAGGTGTTCTAGAAGTTCTCAACAGAGCATAACGACAACGACAGAGCAACTTGACACGCAAGCAATGGCAGGGATTCAAAAGGTGCGTGAACTAATCTTAAACGGTTCACTACAATTGTCTGTAAGCGATAAAGGTGGTGAGTTTGTGGTGATGCCTCAAGAGTTAGACCGCCGCATAACAACAGCCCATCTAGCCGACTCTACAACGTGCAGAGTGGTCTCTGAAAAAGAATTTCAGTCACAGTGTAAGAAACTAGACGACACTTGGATCCCAATAGGCAAATCTGCTGGACTAGAGTTGCAATTGAGAAGTCCGAGTTGTCCAGTGTTTTACAGCCTTCTCAAAACGCACAAGCTTTCTTTACGGGACATGAATTTAATGTCAGAGGAAACCTACAAGATTAGACCAATAATCAGTTGTGTAAGTGGCCCTACCGACAGAATCTCGTGGTTTTCGCACAAAATAGTGAGACAGCTACTACCAAAGGTACCGGCACATTTGTCCAGCCCGCATGAATTTATCAACAATTGCAAAGCGCTAGGTTTGATTCGAGCGCAGTGATCGAGTAACTTGACCTGATCTTACTCTATACCAATGTGCAGAATGACCAAGCCCTGCAGGCTCTATCGGAGATGTTAGATAAACACTGTAGTACTATGAACATGTTTGGATCGGGTAAAGCGCGAATCATGAAAATAGCTAGCGAATGTCTGAAGTACAACATCTTTAGATGGTCTGGGACTTATTACTCCCAAATACGCGGCTTAGCCATGGGTTAAAGATTAGCGCCAGTGCTCACCATTTGCTTTATAAGCAAATTTGAAGAACCGGTATTAGCTCGCATACCGCTGATGTACTGCCGTTACATCGATGATTGCTGTATTGTCACTTCCACACAGTCCGAAATGGACATGTGTTTTTCTTCAATCAGCAGTCGCAGTATATAAAGCTCATTCGAGAACCACCAGATAACGGGTGGCTGCCCTAACTGAATGCGCAAGGGAAGTTGTCCAAGGGCATTGTTAGTGTGAAGCGGTTCCTTAAGGAAAGCTCCAAGAACATTCTTATAAATGTAAAATCCGCACATCCTGCATCCGTAAAGAGAGCTGTCACTGAAAACATGTTCAGAACAGCCATGCGGATGTGCTCTAGTGAAAAAAAAAACGTTGCGAGTTACGATATTTAGTGTCATAGATTGCTTGCAGCAATGGGTGCCATTTTTACCATATTGTCAACATCTCAGAAATGGTAACAACATTAATAACGATAATAAACTTCACTATGCCTTCCGTTTATCTCTGATAGCGTCAACGTGGCTTTTCGAAAATGCATACAACGCGTAGAACTGGAAGGTGATGTTGCTTTAGTGTCCATTCCGAACGACACATCAAAAAGCAGTTGGGTAAAAATAGAATGTATGATAGTTACCGTATTTTGAAGCAATGCTGTGTAGTATGCCCGGGCGGTAAAATAGGCGATTGTGCCAAAGTGGGATTGATTTATCAGATTGAATGTCTTATAATGCACTCTACATTGAAGAGAGAGGAAGACCATTAGGCACTCGCATAAAAGAACACATGACAGGTGAAAGGCGTAAAACACAATTATCACCTCCGGGCAGGCATAAAAGTGAAACCCATGGTGGAGATGATTTTAGTAACAGATGTAAAATCTTGACTTACGAAAAGGAAACATTGGCGAGGTAAGCATTAGAAGCGTTCCGGATTTCAGTGAAAAATCCAGCTATTAACAACAAAAATGACTGCCTGTACATAACCTAAGACTTCCTTCCATTCGCATCCTTATGCGACCTGTAGATAACATCCGATGGTCATCTAGGATATCATTCATTCTTCTGCCGTGACCATCATTTCCGGTGCCGGAAATTCCCATAATGGTGATCTCTCGTTATGTTCATCTTGCGCGCTGCGTTTTTGCAATATGTAAGTCAGGCGAAAGTCGAGAACTAGCAAGAGGAAGGGTGTTTGATGGCGTGGAGCTACAGATGACACTTTAAATCATTTGCAGGCCTCTGAGGAAGACGAAGGCGTCGAAACATCAGGCATCATCATTTGATTGGATCGATAAAGATCGCTTAATAAACCTGTTTGGCAGAGAATACTTTGCCGATACAAACAATGTCCAGGTTTAAGGAAAGTGAAACTTGGAAGGCACTGCACGTATGGATGTCTGATGTGGAAAATTCATGCATGAGCGAGTAAGAGATCCGTGATTTCTTTAGAGGGAATTGCGGTTTTTTTCTCCATTTATCAGGCGCTTGGATGCTTTTAGTTTTTGGCTGCAGACTTTGCGTGCATCAAATCGGTGCATTTCAAAAATATCTTGTGAAGTGTTTTTTGCTCTATCGAGCTGTAGCCTTCAACCTATCAGGTTGGCTAATGAATAATTTCGTTTTGACACGCAATTTCCAAGCTGTATAACCATTCAAGTAGCAGCTATTTTAGCTAAGGTTTTTCCTGCAAGAATGTAACTACAACCCTGTATTCTCAACATCAAGTTCCCGAAAAGATTAGTGACAGTTATGCCCTTATAGGACTACCCCTAAAAGAGGAATTTGAAAATTTGTTGTAAGTGTATCAAATGTATATTTTACGCTCAAGTTCAATTAGTTTTTCGCAGCATGATTTTTTCGAAAATTGAAACAAAGATAAAAGAATAGAATAGAGTACACCATCCGATTCTCTCTGATTTGTTCTTTCAATTGATATTAAACATTTATGGATGAATTAGTTTTTACACACCTACAAACCTTTAAAAACAATCAAACTTATTTTTTAGCCAACCTAATGTATTCCATTTATTATATGATTATTGCCTTTGTGTCTTGGTGCAAGAATTATGCATCCACATGATATTTTGAAAATATCCATAGATAAAGTATTAGAGATCTACATTTTACGCTGTCTATTTATGCACAAGTGCTTTACTGCCCTTCTGTGGTATTGCACAAAAGGGTACTGCCGTAAAGCTTCCCTTCCAATTTCATGATCCTCTGATAATTTGCAGCAGCCAATCGTCTTTTCTTCAAAGTCAATGTTCTTCATTCAAAGTTTTCTGCTGATCAACCCAATAATGCTAACATTGTTGAGCATGTTCCTGGTGTTAACAAATAAAGTACAGAAGTAACAAAATTTCGATGAACCACAAGGTTCATTTGATATCTTTCATCAAAGACTTCAACATTCTAATAATTCAGGGTTTCTTAGTTAGTTAGCAGTTAGCAATATGATGTGAGTCACCACAATCTTGTAGTGTTTTTGACCCTAAAAATAGAAAAATGAAAAGAAGAAAGAAAGGAAAGAAAAAAAGAAAAAAAGAAAAAAAGAAAGGAAAAAAGAAAAGAAAAGATGATTGACCGCTGAGGAACATGGGTAATACGAAAAGTCAGAAAGTTTTGTTTTTATAGCTATATGCTTTTATTCAATAAGTTTAGTTGAGGGCAGCGGTTATACCCAAGTGGTGAACAGCATGTAATACAAATCGCTCGAGCGCAATGAAGCTTACTATTGAGCTGCGTCCCCTTCTCCGGCGAAGATGCTCATGATGGTCTCAGTTTAGCCCGCACTTTGAATATTCTACAATCTGACAAGGGCCCCTTTTTGGATTCAAATAAGTCCGTCTTTAATTGAGTCCGCCCTACAAATAAGTCCTTTTCCTTATGACTACCCTAAAATCTTGTTAGATATTTGAAGCGGCCATATCTGTGTTGGATTTGGCTTTAGAGGATTTATTGCAGGACGATCTTATATGTCAGATTTTAGGGTACTTGCCCAAATGGAGAAGGAAACCGAGAGGCCGAGCTTGAGTTTTTGTATGGCACATTGACAACCGCTTGATACACACTGTCAAACAATGCCATGTGGACCGCTTGACACACATGGTGTGTCAAGGTCTGAATTCAGTAAAGTGATGACCATTCTGGGAGAAACTCACGTCAAGAATTTTCTTTTGCGCTAGATTTAGAAATTGTCTCCAATCAATTTATCAGCATCACAGAGCTACTGGTGGTATATACTTTAGACGGCGGTGCGCAATTCTATTTGAATAATGTTGAACGTTACTTGACAGGCCTAGGCCACGAAAGGCAGACGATCAAAAATTTGCATGGTCGTCACTATGATAACGAAGAATACTACATCGCGTTTGCAGTCAGCCAAAAGATCCGTACCATTATGCTTGCCTCACCATGATACCATTTCTGCCTTCCATATCAGCGGAAAGGAGTTGTGGGCGTGTCACAGATTTTATTCCCAGCGTGGCATGCGATACCGAAAAGAGAAAATTGAGAGTGTAGTGCGGTTTGCAGAGCATTAGACAACCATAATCCGGTGTTTTGGTTTAGTTCACATTCGGCATCAAATTGAATGGGTCTAATTTGACTGATGAGCGATAAGAACGGAGTTCTCACAGTCGTAGCCTAATCTAAATGAGAATTTTTTTCAGGTTTGACCAATCCGTGCTGAATCTTTTAGCTGCCAATGCTTTTTGGTATGATAGACACTATTATGTAAGCGAGATTGTTGATTTTTTCAATATCTCGAAACAATCCTGATGAAGTTTGGATTAGAAAACTGCAATGGGCAACTTTTTCTACCTTTTCGGTAGTTGTTTTAAATAGGTTTTTTGGGCGCTATATGGGATTGAAGATATTTAATATTGTGTGTTACTTGATTCTACAGTTACCGCACCTAAAAACTTCTATTGTACTTTCCTGGAAAGCCAATTGAAAGTGTTCATTCTTACTCTTGACACAATGTCATAGCATTGAGCTTCCTTCCCAAGATCTGGTAGCTTATATTCTCACAATTATCCAAGAAAAGAAAAGATCATTGGAGATGTTAAATTTTCACTTTCATTGATGTATCTACCACCTCTTCATTACTATGAACCATATGAAATGTGTTTCATTTGTAAAATTGAACCAATGAAGATTTCTATGAATACTGTTCAAAAATCTCAGTTTAGAGACCTGCCATATGCAATTCAATGCATGTTTTATAAACGATTGATTTGTGGACTGTCCTTTTTATATTAGGTTGATTCATTTAATGCACGTTTTCCATACTTCAACTTTCAACCGAGATAATTCTTTTTTAAAAAGACATTTCTGGGCGCAATAAAAACTGTTGTAACCATCAAATCAGTGGCTACAAAAAATATGCTTTTGCGTGACTGTATCTATCATAAGAAAGATTTTCTGGCCTGAAAATTGCCAACCATTTTTTTCAAAAGCCTCTACTTTGGGAGAGCATAACTTATGTTGAAATGAAGTAGGGTAAAGCAGATTTCGCTCATCGTGTAGACAATGGTCTTATGAGCAGTAATGCCAAGCTTGGATTTTACGGAAAATTTTTGAAAGAAAATATCGCGAAAAAGTCGAAAATACTCACTTTTCTGGCATCTCGGCGGGTTCAAAAATCGGTCATTTTTGAAATTTTTTCATTTTTCTCCGCTGGAAAGTGAGAAAACCCTAGCGCTTTTCTACCATCAAATCAACTAGGTTTACCCTTGCTGGATAGTGCAAAAGACCTGCAATCGCCTTTTGCTTCAAAGTTTTATATGACAAGGAATGGTCGCGACGATTATTAAAGTTCGCAATCGAATTTCTCGGCTCAGAATTCATGGAGAATTTTGTTCAAACAGCATCTTGTAGCACAAAGCTTTCTAACCCTTATGCATATTTTTTAAAATTAATCCGGCTATTCCTCATAGATTTAGGGCCAAAAGAGTGAAAAGCAATAATTTCGAGATTTAATCTCTTTTATTTGAAGACTCAGAACTTTGAAATGAGCGGAGATGTACGAAAGCGAAGGCCCGCATAAGAAACTAAAAAAAGGGCTCTTTTAGACAGCTTAAAAAGTTTCTAAGGGAATTGACTACACATCAAATGCCAGCTCTTGGAAAAAGAGGTGAGAAGAACGTGCATTAATTATGAATCAACCTAATATCTTTAGTGAATGAAGTAAATATCGTGGAAGTTGCTGGAACTCTGTTAGCAACGGAATGTGTACTTTAATTTGCGTCATAAGTTCCTCGTTTTAAAAGACTTGGAACGTCAATATTTTTGAAGCCTGTTTATGTAAAGGACATGTAATGATATTAAAGCAATTATATTAAAACTGTTCAAAAAACCAGATTAGAATGTGAAGATGACTTAATGAATGTGGAGCGCATTAAGAGCCTTATTCTCAAAAATCTATGAGTTTCTCCCTTAGAACAGTACAAGTTGAAGGCCGGATACAACACATGCTGTTAGTACATAGTGTCTCGTAAGGTTCAAAAGCACCATTTCAACGGTCCTGCGAAATCCTGGAAATCTAAGTCTGAAATTATCAGTTCAGTCGCTTAATCCAAATTAGCTTTTCTTCGTGATCAGTTTTGAGAAGCAAAACTCGCTCTTCGTCTATAATTCTAACTGTCTGAACTTTCCGCGGCAGCATTGACAGGGCTCTGCGGGCCTGTGCAGTCAATGGAGAAAACTACGAACTATGAGTTTACATTGCTATATCCACCTGCATGAACAAGCTTTGTGCTAAGACCACCTTTCAGATACTGAAAAAGTTTATACTAAATTCTGGAGCATTGATCGTCTAAAGCAAGTTCCACTCAAGCTCACTTATTCAAAAAACTTCACAATCTATCTTCTCATGTTCATGATATAATGCTATATGTTGCGAGACGGTCTACACGGGCGGTCTTTTCACACGGGCGTCTCCCTGATTTTGAATTGTCTCAACAAGTAATACACGCCGCAAATCTTTCCTCCCCCTGTTTTGCTTAGGCCCTGGGCAGATCTCACGCGACAAAGTTGTCGCGATCTTCGGTCACGGAAGTGGCGACTAGACGCGGCGACTGAGTCGCTCAGTCGCCGGAGGCGTGCATACCTCCGACACGATTTCATGCAACTGCACAACACTTTACACATTGCACGTACTCTAATGCATTATTGGGAATCAGTGCGCTCGTTAACTTTACTACATCACTGTCATTCAATAAATGTAGCAGCAGATAAAGGAAGTTCGAAAATTTATCACATTAGAATCCGACTTGATAACAATCACAACGTTATGTACCCAAATGATCAACAATAAAAGGAGAAGTCAACGACATCGTGGTTTTGGTAAATGGCTCATAATCATTTGACTATTGGGAAGCATCAATTACGAATAGGGAAGAAGCACCAGCAAGGCTTGGGAAGCATCAATTACGAATAAAGAAGCACCAGCAAGGCCAATGGCTGCGGACATTCCGAAAGAACCGTTACGCGGCAAAACGATGTTTTCAGCTCTAGAAACGTCCCCCCATGTGCTGCACATGATAGACGAAAATACTGTTATTACCTTATGCAAAGCTCATAGTTCGGAGTTTGCGGCACACCATCGTCAACGTAAACTGTGAGCACATTCTTTGAGTATTCGACGCTCAATCGAACAGGGTAGGGCTTGTAGGGTTTGTAACGGATCTTTGTGGCAGCCTAGGCTATATGAGATGTAGGAAAATGTAGATGAAAGACGTGAAAAAATGCAAAATGAGGACTAATTGCCTACATTAAACAGTGCAAGGATAGGCAAAAATTGGCATATGCAACATTTCATGCAGTAACACTCATAATCCGAAGAAAAAACAACAACTTCAACAACAACATCGAGAATGCAGTGCAGGATCGGCCCGTCGCTCGCCGCAAACGAGCGATGCGACATCGCGCCGATTCGGCAAAACTGCACGATATCGCCTGGAGACTATGAACGCCGAAAAGTGTGGCGCGATCCGTCGCGCCGCGCAGCCATCACAGACGCGTCGGGACTTACACACTAAACAGCGTGGCGTGGAACACTTGTCCAAACTGATAGGACGCGACGCGACGAAATCGCATGAGCTTTACCCAAGGCCTTAGGCCCCGGTCAGACTTCACGCGACTTAATCGTCGCGATCTAATCGCCAAGATTTCCATTCATTTTCATTTCACATTCAAAAATTTCGGGCTGCAAAAGTATCACAACCGAATGCAAGTTGATCGGCATGGAATGATGTTGTAACAGTTGTCTCGTCGCGATTCAGTCGCGACGACCAAATCGCGTGAAGTCTGCCCGGGGCCTTAGGCAAAAGTCACCGCAGGGTGTATCGCGCGCGACGGTAGTCCTGTGTGGAAAGCATTACAGTCGTGCGAATTGTCCTACACCCCTATATATTAGATGTGTTAGTAATGATACTGTTGATGTAGATACATTTGGTATACATTGTACATATATGTGGTATATATGACTGTGAAATTATGGCATTTCTGCCTTCTCGGATAGTAAAGAATTCACTCGAGTCGTTTTGAAGTCGTACCACTATAGTAAACCGTTGGATGAGTTCATATGTTTTGGAAGTCAATTAGAGGTCAGGATAATATCGCTTCTTTGCTTTTCTGGATTATGACGAGGATAAAGCAAACACAATCTGTGTTGGACCACGCGTGTACGCTGCCCACCACTGAGAAAAAGCTCCACCTGAAAGTGGATAACTTCTTTTGTAATTCGTTATTTGGTTTCCTTAGATTTTTTTGAAATATTCCTTATAGAAGAAAGGAGGAGATCGTTTTTGGAAAACATTAGGAGAAGGGGAGGGGGAGGGAGGTAGGTGCATACGACCGTCCTATCCCAGACCTCCTGCTCAATACTAATTATGGACCTTATCCAAAGCTCGGCTTTGTCCATCTCAATTTACCTTCGTTCATTCCCTTTCTATACTTTTATTTGGTAATGGAATTCTACTGCACTGGTAGAGTCAGCTTGTGTGGTTGCTTGTATAGCCATTAGCGTCACGCCTTGCTTTTTCTCTAGTTAATCAGCCTTAAATTCTGCACATCCGGCTTTCGAAAAGTGCACTAGAGTGCAAATATTGAAAAAAAAGTGGCTCGCCTAATTATACAGAAGTTGTTGACTTACCCGGCTCCGCCCGGCCCTATCATTATTATATTTGTAATCAGCATGCTCGATTACCCCCCTGTGCCAACTCCCAGCCCCGTAGCTCAAATTTTGCAAAAAATCGATAAAGTCGATATCGATCTATGGCGAAAAGTAGCCTATGACACGCCGCGGTCCGAAGTGTATGTGTGCCAAGTTTGGTACGGATCGTTCAGAAATGGAATTTCCTATTAATCGGAACATACGTACAGAGAGACAGACAGACATACAGACAGACAGACAGACAGACGGACAAACAGACTTTCAGCTTTATATATAAGATGTTCTCCAATTCGTTAATCTGCAAACAAAGTGGGAACCCAAATTAGAAAAACAAATCTGGAAACCTCTTCAATCTTATTATTTCGAAGTGTGGCAGCTGTCCCACCCGAAAAATCAAAAATTAAAAATTATCCTTTGGCTCAATCTTTCCACAAATTTCATCACCTCGGCGGCTATCGGTTTTTTGTCCGCGTTTGTTGAGGAACCGAACGTAATATGATTTTGTTGCTAAGTGCAGAGCTATCAGCCGAAAACATTTCATGAATGTAATGCGAATGTAAGCCGAAACAAGACTTGTATCCATTTGTAGCTATGTAGCTTTGTAACTATAAAAACGATACTAGTTTCAGCATCAACGGAATTTGAGTAAAGTAGCTGCTTTGCGTAGCCATGCAGAAAAGTATAGACACTATTCACCTGTACAAAAAAGCCATTAGATTATCAAAGCTAGGTTCATACGGACCCTAAAGTTCCGGAACAGTTCCAGCACAGTTTTCGCACAATGTTGGAACTGTGGGACAATGCTGTATGCATTGCAGCCGCCCGGATGCGTTTTGAGCGGTGCCAGTTAACAATTTTAACTTTTTTCAGCAACAGTTTTCATGGTGAATTTTGCTTGTTTTCACCTCATTCTTGTATCTCGCTTGCTCTTGTGATTGTAAAAGTTCCAAACTTAGAGAAGGTTGACAATGAGTGCTATTTCGTTTTGTGCATCAGCTAAAAGCTGCCGCAAATTGATGCCACTTCCGTTTCTGCACATTTCTCCAAGTTCGGAGTTTTTTCATTAGAAGCGGAACAGTAATCAAGAACGAAAGAGCAAGCATAAAACTTGTGAGAAGAAATAAGGCCGCAACGCCTTTGAAAAGTTCGCGATTTCCGCAATCGTGATAATTGTATCAGTCCCCTCTGAAGACAGCTGGAGAGATTGAGGATGCAGCGCTCTTTGAAATACAAAAAAAAAAACGCTTAGTAGGAGAATCACAGAGAAGGGACGCGCAAAGGAAAATAGATAATTTACGCAAGACATGACATAAAAAATTTTCATTCTCGAATCCCACTCTGAATTCGTAATTTTTTACGTCACCAGAAGTGCAAGAATGAGATGAAATGGGCAAATTTACAATTATAACCGTTGAAGAAAGTGGAAACTTGCTATTTTGCTCACCACATGTGGGCGGCTGCAGCGCGCGCAGCACAGTTCCGCCACAGTTCCAGCACAGTGCGAGAACTGTGCTGGAACTGTTCCGAGACTTCGGGATTAGTATGAACCCAACCAAAAGAACTTCAAAAACGTGTATGTATGAATTACGATGATTGGTTGAGAGGACTTCAAAATTTGATTTGCATCAGATTAAATACGAATAAGTCAAATCAAAACCGCTGAAGAAATGTCACCTAGGTCATTTTATCTCTGCGAAACGATCCCTTTTGCATTGAGAGAGCGACTTTTGCAAGAAATGCAGACAGTGCGCAATAACGTACAACGTACATCTGCGGACTATTTCCACTGCATCTTCCTGGCTTCGTAGTTCGTTTAATGTTGAAGTTTACTGAAATGTAAATAAAATCAATCTGATTTTATAGAACGTGTTTCATACAAAGTGCTTAGCCTTGCCTAATGGTTTTCGATAGTATCAAGTTCATCGATTACAACAACTAATCCATTGGTTGAGCATCTTTTCTGTATGAACAGAAAAATCCGGTGCATTCTTGCGAATTCGCGTTTGTACAATCGTTGTACATGTCAATTCCTACGAGATTCATTACTGACACGAAAATCATTAATTCATCCACCTCGTATTCCTGCGAGAGATCGGTCGTCTATATGTTATCGGCGTTCACGAATAAGAGACCAAACTTTCATTCACTGCCACACGATTTGAAAAAGTGGTAAGTTTTTTATACTATGAATTTGTTGTCTTTATACGATCCGAATATAATCAAAACCGAATCACATCACCTCCAAAATTGTCAAATCTTCGAACCGAGTAATATCTGTGCCTGCCTTATCTACGAAACGAATCAATTCTCCCACACATTTTTGCAAATCTTTACTGTTTCGTATGTACCGAAAGGCTCGAGAATATTGAGCTTGAGCACGCTTGCACGCAGATACTTCTCTTTCGCCCAAATTCTTTGAAACTTCAAACATTTCACAACGCCTGAATTCAAAAATACTTGACAAAAATTATGGTTGCAGTGACGCAGCCTAATCTTTAACGAAGCTTGTCAGTGACGCACATGCACGCAATTCTTTATAGCACTTAATAATGATAATTAGAAATTGAGAAAATATTGGTAAATATGTAACTGCAAAGCTCCGTTCGTTCCTGCCCTTAGATGGAGAAAAAGGATTTAAAGCCTTTTTTAGCGCTCCTCAATAAGGAAGGAACGTTTGTGAAACTTATTTTTTTAGTACTTAGAAATCAGTATTTAGGTAACAAAGTGTATAGCCGGTATCGTTGGGAAAGTTCAAGGTTTTTGAAACAAGTAAGTAAGAGCATGCTCATCTCAAAGTGATGCCTCTACTGCAATATGTCAGTACCAAGATATTACAAGATTCGTTGAAGAGGATTTACTTTCAAGACGTAGCAAAGAGACCTAAACGTTGAGTCCATTATTAAGGTATTTACAGGAAATTCTAACCCAGTTTACTCCTTGCGGACCTGGTGATGGCATTTGCCACCGTCATTTTACAGATCTGCTGTACTGGTGCAGGATTTTTACTACCTGCTACAGATCGCTTCATATAGCCGTTATCTTCTAACAAGGGAATGGAAAGAAGTCGAAATGGCCAAGCCATTTCGACTTTCCAAGTCGCACACCGTTGGATGCAGCATAAAACGCTGACTCTAAATCTGTCTTCCTTATCTGCAGAGCGCTTTTGTGGACGAAATTATAAGCCGTTGAAGGCCATTATTTTGCTAAGAAATTGTGCGTGTAAAGTGCAAGCATGGACGTACAAAGCCATTCTCGGCTCAGTGTTGGACCAAAGCATGCAACTAGGCCACTTCATTTGACCCTTACCTAGAGATGAGCCGAAAGAGCAATAATGTGCTTAATTTTGCAAATTTTATGTACGATTTTTTCGCAGAAGAGCTGCTTATAACTTCGCCTACAAAGGCGCTCAGATATGGAAGGCAGATTTGAAATCAGTATTCTATTCTGCATCGAATAGTATGCGCTTATATCAGTGGCGTACCCAGGATTTCGGCTCGGGGGGGGGGGGCGGCAAAAAAAATTTTCAAATGAAGGTGCGTCACGTTAGCCACGCACTCCGAAAAAATTTTAGGGGGGCTTCTCAACAATTTTGCGGGCCCCAAACCCATAAAATCTGGAAAGAGGGGGCGTTGCGTCAGCCACGCCCCCGAAAATTTTTTTTATAGTGCTAATTTGAATTTTTAAAAATTTTAAAAATTATTTTAATTGTTTACAAAAATAAACAAGTCATTTGCACATTTTTATAGCGTATGTAAGTAATTTTCAAAAATTTCGCGACCCGTTCTCGGGGGGGGGGGGCGCGCCCCGTCCCCCCCCCCCCCGGCCCCCCTCGGTACGCCACTGGCTTACATGGATTGGCCACTTCGAGTAGCTTTGAAACGTGTTTATTTTTCTTTTTGTCAGCAACACAAAAATTCCTGTAAACAAGTGATTTATAAGCAATCAATAACTTGCGCCGGCAATCTAGGCGTGGTGAAATTTCTGTAAACCGAAAAAGTCTGATTTGAAAATAAAGACTGCTCGTATTTTGCGCATGTTAACATTGAGAGGAGCATACTGTGACTTTTTACTACATCCATCTCTTCCTTACAATTTACCATACATTTGCTTGGGACGAGAAGTTTATTTCGCAGGTCGTTTCTAGCTTTGATCACATGCTCATTCATTATCATTATTCTCTACACGCGCTGGCTTCAGCACCGTATCAATATCTTCGCTTATTAGCAAAAAACACGCACAATATTATCAGAAAGTTTGAGTACAACGTTGTGCAAGTGTAGTTGCTAACGGTTTGAGGTTTACATGTATTGAGGGAAATTTTGAAAATCAAAAATAAACGCAAAACCATAGTCAGAAAACCAAAAAGAAGTAGTTTATAAGGTTAAAAAGACTCCGAACTCCGCGTAATGTGTTATTCATATAGCAGTAACTAAAAACAACAGGAGAAAGACTTTTTTGCTCACTCGCAAAAACTAGGGTCCGAAATAATCTGGATTGGCGTAATTCCTCCTCGCAAGGGTTTGCGCCCTTTTGCAGCTACAGTATGTCATATCGAGTTAAAAACCCATTTGCGTCTCTTCATTCTGTTCATTCCTTGCAAAATGCCAGCGCTATGCGCTCGCGAATCCTCCAGCGATGCGGAAGCGCTGCTCTAAATGAGACCTTTGGCCCACTCGGGTTTGAAACACCCTGTAATGGCATCGTTTTTCAGCAAACTGCTTGGAAAAATTGTCCTTAATTTAGGCATGGTGATACTTCTGTGTACTGAAAGGAACCTGATTTGAAAATAAAGATTGCTCGTATTTTGCACATGCTAACATTGAGAAGAGCATACAACGACTTTTGCTATATTCATCTCTTCCATACACCTTATATTGTTTGGGACTAGAAGTTTATTTCGCAGGTCGTTTCTAGCTTTGATCACATGCTCATTCATTGTCATTACTTTCTACACGCATCGAAATGGCACACACCCGAGAACAGGAGCAAAGGTGAGAAAGATTTGAGATTCTTAGAAGGTAAACTAGATCGGTTACAGGTTCTTATAATTTTTCACGTTCTTCTAGAAAACTAAGACTTTTACAATTTCAAGCAGCGATATAGGAAAAGGAGACAACGGGCTACTTGATTCGCATCTTGTGAACATGATACACACTGAATTAAGGCAATTCTCTGACATTACCTTGATCTCCTCATTCTCCTTTCTTCGAAACTCTTATTCTTCCCTATTTTTCTACATTTTTGCAGCTGTAGATATGTTCGAGCACTTGACGTACATTGATTTCTTGCTAGAAATCGCTTACAAAATTTTGGAAAATCTTAGACTGCGCTTTCTGTGTTGACTGCATACATCATTCAGACATTTCGGGTAGAAACGAAAAATAAGAAGATTGAGGGGATTTTTTTAATTTGAACGTAACAAGTTTCATTCTAATGTTCTGAGCTAAATTTTCTTTATGATCACATAGCAATTTTTCAAATAAATATCTTTCATTGAAAAAAACAAAGCGGAAGATGAGAAATTACTGCCATTTTTTCAGAAAAAAGAATGAGACGAAATTCCCTTAAGTTGCTAGTGAGTACTTACGGGACATTTAGTTGACGAGTTGTTGCAGTACAAGAACGCGCAAAAATGCACAGTACCGGGGCCCAAGGAGGAGAGGATCATAGTGCAGCTGATTTCGGCGAACGAAAAAGAGAACATGATAGATTCTTTTCTTCAGAGTTTGCTTGGATTTTCTCTCAAACCTGTTCAAAACGAAGATTTCCTGATTCCTTTTAATCGACTCATGATCCATCATTTTCGTTTTTCATACAGTTCTCGTCAAAAAATCGTAGTTTTTTTTAATCCATCCATTTGATGGGTGACTTCCTTGATAGCGGTCATCATCAATTTTTTTCGAAAGCGACCGCTATCAGAGATTGCTCGGCAATGCCGCAAAAACCCTCCACTAGATGGTCCGAACTATGGTCGTACACACTGAGCCGCAATCACCTACGCGTCCTACGTTCACCGTAGGCTCGCCCCAGCCGAGTTGCACTGAACAGGGGTTTTCTACGGACCAGTGTAACATTTGGAAGTTGCCACAGTCTTTGCACCTTGTCAGAGGAAAAAACCAATTCATCTACAGTTTTTCATATTTCTTATTTCACAACATTTGGTTCAACAGATGCGAGAGATCTTTCGTGACCTTTCCCTTCTGTGCAGTTTTCTTAAATTCCAATTTTACACTTTCATGGACTTCAGAAGTTTAGAAGCTTTCGCGAACCCGTTCAAATTAGACCTTAGAACTAAAATCTTCAGTATTTTAACAACTTGCATTTATCTTGGAACCATTAATACCGGCATTTATCTTGAAACCATCGATACCGTCTTTTGATGTCGTGGAGCTCGCACTTGAACTTGAGTTTTGGAGCCAAATAATCGAAGCATGAGAATTAAAGAGGCTATTTTCTTTCAGGAAGTCCTGGAAAATTGTAATTGCGTCGACGCGAATGGTAATAGCTATGACTTTTGTTATCACCTACCCGAAAATAGGAGTATTCATGGGCGAAGATTTTCCTGCCAATATTTACCAGTAATCAAAAAACTTGGTGAGACTACATGCTTGTTTCGCATGAGATGAAGCAAATTATTCTTTTCTGAAAAAAGGTTTGAGGCACAAAATACTCATTAGCATTTTAGGTTTATTAGATGCATACAGATTAACTCTGACATGGAAACCATCGCCTCCGGTATTTGTTACCGCATTCTCAGACAACCATCAAGATGAAGCTCTAGCTCTTGTAGGTATTTCGTGACAGCCAGTACTAATTTGTACTATCAAACAAGTTATTTGTTGAGGTCAGAAGTGTTGCACAGTACTTCAGCAACCAACGCATGATAGTATATGATTTAGGAGATGTTGATCTTAATCTGTTTAAGGTAAATTATGTCATTTGTAGATATTACCTCAATATTCTTCCCATTCATATCTTTCCTGACACAACCTACATTCAACGGTTTGCTTCAGGAATGGAAATTTCTCGAGTTTCGTAGATTTAAGTTCGAAGACTATCCCGTATACGTAAGGTAGCTAAATGAGTATAGATGGAAGCCGCTAATTATAGCGGTACGTTCCATTATAACTTGTTCCGTTGGTATAGTGAGTTGGCAAGAAAGTTCGCATTTCATCAAACTAACCTCGAGTCATTTGTAACTTAATATGTGAGACTGCACACTAAGCCCTATGAGCGACGGCACCCTTACTGGTAACTTTCCAGTGAAACATTTTTTAGCCTAAAAAAGTGTACAAATATGTTCTATTGACTAACATGCAATTAAGAAAAATAAAAGAGACAAGGAAACAAGCAGAAGTCGCTGGAAACAAGCAGGTTCTAGTTTTGTTGTTCGTCAGTCAGCGTGCTTGGTGTGCACTACACATATTAAGTTACGAATGACTCGACGATAGAATTGCAAAATCTCAGGATCTAATTCATGCAAGGAAAGGAAAACACGCAGGATTACTTTCACATATAATATGTGCTCATATCTAACAAGAATGTGTTTTTGATCTGACTTGTTTTGAAGACAACAAACGTTTGAGTAACAGCTCTTTTGCTTCAACCAACCGAATACCTGCAATATAATAGATTTGAAAGAACTAACCATTGTGCTCCTATTTGGCAACCGTGGAATAATGTGCTACCAGCGACTTACTATTAAGCTTCATTGGAGATCTATCATAAAAGCTAGTATTGATGCGTGATATTCTACGAATGTTTTTTGTGCAAGTACGATAAGCAATTACGAAATGAAAGCATTTTCACACCTTAAATGGCATTGTCTTGTTATTTTTCCTTTGCCAAATGAGCGATCTAAATGAGGGCCTTGAGCTTTTGGCAGCTATAGGACCTCTATCAATCCAATGCCCAAGCTGCAACGCAAAAGTCGCTTCGAAAGCGAGAAAAATGCTTTGGAATAGCGAAAATGCAGGAGGATTCTAAATCGGCACCGCCCCTCCGGTAATGCCCGCTCATCCATGTGCGCTCATCCAATCACCGTCCCGGAAAGCCGGCCTGCGGGTTCTCCGGAGGGGGCTTTTTGGTTTTTCGCGGATTCTAGACTTCATAATCCATCCAGCTCGTAGACGCGCCTTTTCGTCCCGTACTTCACTGAATGCTCAGTTGAGAGCTTGCTAATGAGAAGCTCTTAGCAACACACACTTTTCCGGACTTCCCTTAACACATTCACGACAATACAACCCACCGGTGGGTCGTGCCTGTTCTGCCACTTCGGACAATACGACCCACCGGTGGGCCGTAAGATTCATGAAGCGCTATCCTTGCCAGTTTATGACGGAATTCTACGGGGTTCTGACACATGATCGGGTGTACCTAGGTGAAGCCCCAGCCAGAGTGGTGTGAGCAAGGGGTACTGTTATGTGATGTTACGGTAGGTATACCGTAGAAAGATATAAGGCACATACTTTGAGCTCAAATTCTTCGCAAAATAATGCTGTTTCTAGTGAATCAAGTTTACATGTAAGAGTAATACGGGGCGGGCAAGATGCTGAGGTTAGCCCACCAAAAAATTATCGATTTTATTAATTTTATTGATTTTTGCATTTTTCAACCGGATCGAACTTCGCTATATGGGTTTTGTAGCGTGCTGATTACGAAAATGATAGTCTCAAGTTTTGATACCACCTTCTTACATCAGTTTCTTGATTTCTACGAAAATTCTACCGTACTGCTACCGTAGCCCTACTGTGGGACGGTAGTGAACAAAGTGAACACTATAAACGTAATCAGCACGTGAAACAACTCCAACACAATTTTTCGTGAAAATCCTAGTGTTGGTTTCCTGCAGGATGACTACCCTAACCTTACCGTATAAAGCCAAAAATTGAAATAAATTGTTTTTTGATGATGATCAGCGCCTTCGATTACCCCATTGGAAAAATTCTCGGGGACATGTTTTGGACTTTTTCCAAAAAGACTACCATCTCGGGCAATACGACCAGATGGGCCGTAACTTTGACGAAGCGAAAAAGGCTCTGGTCCGAAATGGCAGTAATCGAAAAATCGGCCTTGTCGTGAATGTCTCAAAGCCAAAGAACATACTTAAAGGCAGCGTCCAGGCAAATCTGGACACATGGGGACCTCACGTGGATCAGGTAGGCTCTAACGGCTGAGATTTTCCCCTCGAAACTGGACCCTGCGATCGTATTTCGCATGGATTTATGGCGCAAAGCGTGGATCCTGGAGCGAAACTGCCATGAATCCATGCAATATGATCGCGGGGCCTTCGAGGCGTATATCTCTGCCGTTAGAGCACTACCTGAGCTGCGGCTTGAGCAGTGCTAGTTAGTGCTCCAAAAGTACTTTCCACGTAAAATCCCCATAGGGCCAGGTCTGCTTGGACGCTGCATTTAAGGGCCAGTGGGGGACAAAGGCGCAGAAGCAGTATAAACTGCTGCATGCCGAAGCGCGCTTTATTAGCCGCACCGCATGAGGCGCAGGAATCACAACGGTGAAGATACGTGCGCGCCCGCTTTGCTAATACTGCTCCTGCGCATTGGTCATGCAGTAGCCCTTAAGCCCTGCGCCTCATGCGCTCTGGGACCAATAACGCGTTCGCGCCAAGGCCCGGCACAGCTCGTCTGAAAGCGGACTGGACTTCGTTTTTGGAGCAAACAGCAAAGAGGATAACGTACTTGACGAGTCGGAACCGGGCACCAAGAATAAGCGCCATTTAGTCGAACAAAGCTTTCCGGACAGGTTGTATGACAGCATGATTGACATGCTCTATCGTGCATGGCGAAAAGTGCGCGCGATTTGAAAGCAAGGCTTAAATAAACAGATTGCTTGTTTACAGCGCACACAGAAGCATATGACACCGAAATTGAAGCGTATGTATAGAAAATTATTTGCGAAAGTATTATGTGAAAAGATTTGAAAACTTATGGTAATACTTTTTCTAAAATTAGATTCTCCAGAGGGCCACCAGACGATGTGAGATCGTCTGGAGCATATATTTTCGTCACTTCACATTAGTTTCGGATCTTTTTAGCATGGACGGATTCCCCGGTCAAAAATCTATCCCTGAGCATGAAAACATTTTCATATCATTGCCTTTCCTTTGTTCTTTGCCTTCATTTCTTCTCGCTTTGTTATCGCGCTCTAATGCCAAAGTCTTGTGCATGCGTAGTATTGAGCTCCAATTTGGATTTTCACTCTTATCTTACGTCTTTTCAGACTAGTAAATCTTTCTTGTTTTCATCTTCTCCCAAGCAGGTAAGTCAAAGGGGACTTCGTAAAACCCAAGTCAGGGGAGACTTCGTTTTCAGAAATCCTAGGAAACCAACTCGTGCCGGGCTCTAGTTCGCGCCCGAAGGATCGCGCCTTCGTCATGCAGCAGGCTATACAGTCTACCCCAATTCCAACCAGGCCAAAATTGGCATGGCGGGAGCCCGTATCGCGAGGGTATTGCGTCACGTCTACGGCTAGCCAGCTTGGTCTCTCCTCAATCTCTTCGCTCTCTACGACAGCGCGCGTATGCAGCGCAAAAACCCTAGCGCTGCGAGCGCGCAAATCCAGCCGACGTTCTGGCCTGATCTCGATTGGGGCAGACTGTACATACCTACTTACCAGTGGCGTACCGAGGGGGAGAGGGGCGGGGGGGGGGCGTGCCTCTCCCCCCTAGAACAGGTCGCGAAATTTGTGAAAGTTACTCACATGGGTTATAAAAATGTGCAAGTGACTTGTTTACTTTTGTAAACAATTAAAATAATTTTTAAAATTTTTTAAAAATTCAGATTAGCCTTATAAAAAAAATTTTTCGAGGCGTGGCTGACTGACGCCACGCCTCCTTTTTCCAGATTCTAGGGGGTTGGAGGCCCGCAAAAATTTTGGGAAACCCCCTAAAATTTTTTCAGAGTGCGTGGCTTTTTTTTGCCGCCACCCCCCCCCCCCCCGAGCCGAAATCGTACGCCACTGCTACTTACTTAGATACTTGGATGGCCTGTCCTCACGGCCCCCATTACAGAAGTTTCCATTGTTCCCTGTCCCTTGTTCTTTGCCTATACATAGCAGTTTCAAAATAATTAGTAAAGGAGAAATTGTGAAATAGCTCTCTTCGTGGCAGCAAAGCAGACACCTGTCTGACACGGTACCATTGACAGAAAAAAAGTTGAGCACGCCCTTTATTCGCATAGCTTTTTCATAACTTTTCATACAATTTCCGCTTCCCATTGTCCTTATACGCTCTGGATTTGGTGACATTCAAGTGGCTGTTTTTGTAGAAAGCTACTCCTGGATTTTCACGATGTGAGAGGTTATGTCAGAGCACGTCTATCATGATTATGTCTGCCTTGTTCGTGGACAGCTGAGGATGTAACAGAGAGCATATGCTGCTATGTCGTACAGGTGATCAGGTGGTCTACGGCCTTACGTTTCGACGATATCATCTGCATCAGAGGCCTGTATTGGTACAAATCTTCATCCGTGACTCCTGCCCACCAAACGCCTCCACAAGTCTTGCCAGTTTTTGGCTCAGCTGACGAGACTTGTGAAGAAGAGTGGGCTGGAGTCAAGGATGAAGCTTTGACATTTCAGACCTCTGGTGAAAAGAAAACAAATGCTCGGAACCTAAGGTCGCAGACTATCGACGTATAAAGGCAATTAACAACCTGTACGGCAGAGCAGCGTTCGACATTTACGAAGATGCCTAGGTGTAGTGATTATGAAACATAAATGCCCTCTCTCCTTTCATCAGAAAAACGATATTTTGTTTACTTATGTACCAGCCGTACTGACTTCTTAGAGCTTGTCATCCTACAATATCATTTGCTGATTCTTTAGAAAACCCTTCTTGAGTTTGGCGCTATCTGGTACATGGATAGCTCCGTTGTTTTCAAAAAAGGTGACCTCACTCACGTCTATGAGCTTGTGAAATGTAGAGAAATTGTCAAAGAAAGGTAAGGCATTGACAATGGAGTTTTGTGACTAAAAGTGCAGTTTAGGACACCTCTGTTATCGTCGGAAGAAAGGGACGAGCGCGAAAACCGAACTGTGCTTGAAAGCGGCTGGGAAAATTCGCAGTATCGAGAAAATCTTGCTGAATGTAGAAAGGTGAAGGCTCCCAATTTTACGCTTTTTCTGATCTTCTGTCGATAAGCTTAAAATTGCTTGGAATAATCATTAAATATATATTCAAAAGGAGAATATAAGAAAGCGACTGCGACAGTAAAAAAAGAATAGAGCAATTCTCTTTTTACTCTTAACCTAGAATATTCACTTGTGATAGATGTGACTGGAGACTTATTGGGGAAATCAAATCTAGCAGATTTCCATCAATTTGATCTGAATTAGTTGTCATTATATTAGTTGCATACCTTAGTTTCTCAAGTGGCATACGGCCTTTGTCCTGCTCAACCGCAGGCTGTCGAAGTGGTGCAATTACACAAATGCTTGTTAAAACGATGCACTGAAATAGAGACAATAAGCGAGCTTGCGGTCATAACTAAATTCAATAGCAAGAGAAGCGTGAGAGGCGATATTACTGAGATTGAATTTTGAAAAAATCTAATGATCTGCGATATCGACATAACCAGCGTGTGGTTCCCTCACTTAGGGCACTGAGTCTTTATCCAAGCCGAACAGGAACTGATATGCACATAATTATTTGCATTATCTTTAAGTGAGCTGACACAATCCACACCACCGCACAAATTGTTGTTCCGAGTGCATTATACAAATGTTCTTGATTGATTATTGTATATAAATAAAAATGACATTTTCTTCTACAGTCCGCATGTTTGCTGCATGGGTACGCAGGGCATGGCATTTATCCTGCCACTTCACCAAGTTAGTCGTGATTGGAATCGCAATTATCATAACATCCCAGTTGAGCGCACAGTCTCTTACTTTAGTAATCTACGATTTCATTCCAACAAACAAGAAGGAAATTAAGAAATCGAAAGCGAAGATGTATGACGCCGCTTTGATTTTTGTCGCTCGAACAAGAGATGCAATTGAACAGATATTGAAATGGTACTTTTTTAAATACTTGAAGTGTAACAAGTTAGTATATGTTTGCTGATCCCATGTTCAATTAAGGCTTGTTCTCTGCGCGCTCGAAGAAAGCTGCATGGCAGGCACCGGTAGTGGGTCCCTTCCCTGCTATTTCGGAAACCCTTTCTCTGATGAACCAATATGCCATAGGTTAGTGTTAGGTACATATAATTTGACCTCACAGCCTTTTGAAGAGTTTGGTGGATCCATTGCTTTAATTTAAGATTACTACGCGAAATGCCCTTCAACATCCATTTAGGGCCTAATATATAAAATTTCCTCCTAGATCGAAAGTATTAGGTCGGTGCGTGACGCCCTAAGTCATTTATTTACCTAACAAAGGGTGTTACTCGGTATCCGCGTCCTTTTGAAATGAGACTCACACCGCTACAATCGTCTTGGAATGCTTATTCCGAATCTGATTTTTGTTTCTGCTAATCTTTCCTCTAAAAGAGGTTATGAAGAATTTTTGCGCCAAGGTCGGCCTCCCAAGGGTAATGCGATTGGAAAGCTTCTTCTATATTTGAATCACTTCGTTATAGATTTCTGTCACCGTGTTTGACATGCATTTATCTTCCATTCATTGAAACACCCATAAAAAAATTACTCGTTATTTTTAGAGAGCAAGGGCATGCGTTTACTTCGAAGATGCCTAACCTTCAAAAAAAGTGCAGAAATGAAAAGCACGAAAGGACTGGTACTTACACCTCCACTGACTTGTGAGGCAATCGCATTGACCACTGACCACAGAGCAGCGACGGTGTTGGCCGTTCCAGTCGTGTTTCTTTTGGGCGGACTTTGACGCGAAAATCCTTCATAACTTCCTTCAAAGAAGCGATCAGCAGAAACGGAAGTCAGAATCGGTATCAGCGTTCCAAAACGAGTGTAATGGTGTACACCTTATTTCAAAGGGCCACGGACACCGAGTACTATTTAGTAACATATCTAATATATAAAGAATCGTAAGCGCAATTCAAAAATGTGCACATAGCGGGAAACCGCATGGCGGTCCCAGCGCGCGCGCGTGAAAATCTAACGTTAGCGCCATCATTCATCCTGGCCTAGAATTTTTCCTTTTTTCGATCTTTATCTTAAAAAATCGGTTGTTTGTGGCAGGTTTTACATTCCTCTCTTCCAGGATCTCTTCGAAGATGTCTTTGTCGAGTTGCCCAACGTTTCTAGTCTGATAATCGTTCGGTAACCTATCCGAGACAGGTTGCGGACGTTCATTCGATAGAGCAAAGTAAGCTGCATAAGATGGTTTTCGAATGGCACCAACTTTGATGCACGCAAAGTTTTGAGCCAAAACCAAAAAACCCATTTGCTTGCAATTTCGCAAGAGATCGGAATTCCCTTTAGAAACACCAATCTCATACTAGCTCATGTATATACTCTCTGCATCGAACATTCATGTATGCAATTGCCATAATTTTTTTTACTAAAGCAGTTACCAAAGTGTTCCCACACTGGTAATGGTATACTACAGGGCATCAGAAGTGCAGCCATGACTTTATCCTTTCGCAGAACCTAGTTCACACGAACTTAGTTCAGTTTATTTTTCATTTTCGATAACTTGACAGACGAAGGATACAATACCGCTCATAATTCGTCAAAAAAGTGGGCGGAGTGCGCTGCAGTGCTCCGGAGTGCAGCAGAGTGCGCCGCACTCCACTGGAGTCCGCCGAAGAGCAGCGAAGTGCGCCGCATATCACTAGAGTCCATTGTAACCCGCGTCCTATCACCATAGCTCGCTTCAGAATGGACGAATTTTGAACCCGAGGACACCATTCGATTCAGCTCGGTGAGACGCATCGTCTAGTATAGTTGAAGTGAAGGCCACATTCTTTCGGGGTAGGAGGGGCATACAATGGAGAGTAAGTTGTCGCGCACTTTTGCAGATTTTTGTTTGGCTGGATTGTTCAGTGTACTTGTAGCAATCTTGCCATTGGTTTGTCGCTGATGACACTGATAATAGTAGGTATACTCTAAGAGCGCGGTAGAGAGTCACTCTGATCGAATTTGTTCTAAAATTAGCTCAAGGTACAATACCGTCACAAAATGTGCAGAATTTCGGTGAACCAATTCCGAGAATTACGCGAAAGTCCACGATATTTCGGGAATTTCGCGACAATAGGATAATAAGATCAACTTAGGATCCAGGATCCGCGGAATCACAGGAATCATGCAGAATACGCAGCGCTACAGCTTCCTTCGGAATGAATATACTCTGAATGCGGAAGCGACATTGTTCAGCTCATCAAGGCAAATCTTTTGGTGTACAGCATGCCGTCGATATTCCGTTTCCAGTTTTCTCAGGTTCTTCTGTGAATGTACTTTCGCAAGGATGTAACGCAGCGTCGTTCGATAGTATTTAGTAGTGTAACATAAAAGATTCCAGTAGTACCAATCGATAGTACTGTTCCTGTAGGTTACCGTACGCTAAAAAGAGCCGCAAACTGCCTTCCAAAAGAGATAAAAGCACTGGTTAATCATGGAAACATCACGCGTTTCCAAACTCTACTCGCCGTATTTCCTTCGGAATGGATATATTCTAACCCGAAAAAAAAAAGCGTTGTACTCAACTTATCAAAGCGAATCTTTCTATAAATAGGATGTCCTCGATATTTCGATTTCAGTATTCTCAAATCTTTCTGGTGGACGTCTCTTCGTAAAAGTGTAAAGCAGCGTGCATCGCCGCTAATAGACTCCAGCGAAGACCGTTCGATAGTATTTCCTCTGTAGATTATGGTGTGTAAAAAGGTAGTCACAGGCATCTTTCCAAAGGAGATAGAAGGGCTGCTGAATTGTTGAAAAATCTTGTCTTCTCAAATTCTACTCTCGTAACCCTAGAATACGAAGCTGTCTTGCTAAGCAGATAGGAGTTTTGATCAGCAAGGTAGATAGCCCCTATGAGCATGTCTTCAGGAAACTTCGGGTTATTTGAATTTTTCTCGTTCCATGCTCTGAAGTCGCAATGTAATTTGGTCGAAATGTTGACGACCTTCGTTTGAAAGGAAACTCCGCTCATAGAGGTGTTTGAACACTCTCTTTATGAAAATCGTCTTTGTCAAGTACAGGGTCTTTTTGCAGAGATATGGTGAGGTAACTGCAACGGAGTTACGGAAGCTCGTAACTTCGCCTGCACCTCTCGCGTGTCAGTCAGAAAACTTGCCTGCTTGCTTTCCAAGGTTAAAGTTACTATGTTCCATCGAATGGTGCATGTCTCAGGCTCCAGTCTATGGAAATCGCCGAGTTACGAGCCTACTAAAACACGTCCTCATGCGTTTTGCCCAAAATGTATAGATCACACACTTCTTCGAAATTCCACCGTGAGTAGTTGTATGAAACGCTGATCGAATCTGTTCACATCGTCTAAAGGATCCCCTATGTTGGGTTTGATTGTTAGATCTGAGCTCTATCCACTTTGACGCTTTGATATTCAATCGAGCAGCTGAAGTACACGCAACCACCATATTCAAAACAGTGCTGAAGTACACGCAACCATCATATTCAATACAGTTGGATCCCTTGGGCAAATGAACTCAATGGTTGCAATCAGACTGTCATAACAGTCATGGTGGAATTTAAACGAAGTATGTAATGTATACATTTTGGGCAAAACGCATGAGGACGTGTTTTCGTAGGCTCGTAACTCGGCGATTTCCATAAATTGGAGCCTGACATGCACCATTCGATGGCACAGTTCATAGCAACATTAACCTTCAAATGCAAGCAGACAAGTTTTCTGACGGGTACGCGAGAGGTGCAGGGGAAGTTACGAGCTTTCGTAACTCCGTTGTAGTTACCTCACCATATCTCTGCAAAAAGACCCTGTACTTGACAAAGACGATTTTCATAAAGAGAGTGTTCAAACACCTCTATGAGCGGAGTTTCCTTTCAAACGAAGGTCGTCAACATTTCGACCAAATTACATTGCGACTTCAGAGCATGGAACGAGAAAAATTCAAATAACCCGAAGTTTCCTGAAAACCTGCTCATAGGGGCTATCTACCTTGCTGATCAAAACTCCTATCTGCTTAGCAAGACAGCTTCGTATTCTAGGGTTACGAGAGTAGAATTTGAGAAGACAAGATTTTCAACAATTCAGCAGCCCTTCTATCTCCTTTGGAAAGATGCCTGTGACTACCTTTTTACACACCATAATCTACAGAGGAAATACTATCGAACGGTCTTCGCTGGAGTCTATTAGCGGCAATGCACGCTGCTTTACACTTTTACGAAGAAACTTCCACCAGAAAGATTTGAGAATACTGAAATCGAAATATCGAGGACATCCTATTTATAGAAAGATTCGCTTTGATAAGTTGAGTACAACGCTTTTTCTCGGGTTAGAATATATCCATTCCGAAGGAAATACGGCGAGTAGAGTTTGGAAACGCGTGATGTTTCCATGATTAACCAGTGCTTTTATCTCTTTTGGAAGGCAGTCTGTGGCTCTTTTTAGCGTACGGTAACCTAAAGGAGCAGTACTATCGACAAACCAATGGCAAGATTGCTACAAGTACACTGAACAATCCAGCCAAACAAAAATCTGCAAAAGTGCGCGACAATTTACTCTCCACTGTATGCCGCTCCTACCCCGAAAGAATGTGGCCTTCACTTCACTTCACTACACCAGGCGATGCGTCTCCCGAGCTGAATCGAATGGTGTCCTCGGGTTCAAAATTCGTCCATTCTGAAGCAAGCTGTGGCAATTGACGCTGGTTCCGATGAACTTTAGTGATTTGAGGCGCACACCGCTGCTCTCCGGCTGACTCTAGTGGAGTGCGGCGCACTCTGCTGCACTCCAGCGATTTTTTCGACGAATGAGCGGTATTGCACCTTTAAAAAAGGCTCACAATTTTTCAAAAAAGTCGATCTATTGGGTTCCTCACCTGTGAGATGAACTGGTACTTGTAACCGGTGTGTTATGCATTTGTGACACATTTCGCCAAAATACGCGATTTTTGGATTTGGGACAAAATTTATGAGAACGTGAATTCGTAAGTTCGTAATCTGAGGAATAGTGCAGATGAAGACACATATAAAGTATGTTCCGACTGTATTTTTCATACAGACTCCAACCTTCAAGAATGCGGAAGCAAGTCCGTCAGCAGATGGGCGAAAAGGGCATGCAAACTTGCGAGCTTGCATGACTTAGCTAGATCCCGCTTAATGTAACTTCACAGTAAAGCCCTTTCGTACAAAATAGCTAAGGTTTCC